CAAAGCTATTTCTTAATCCATTGTCAGATGCTACGAATTCTTGTGGTAATAACGTGCTTGTTACTGGTCTAATCAATGAATCACATACTCTATTTTGAATATGCGGAAATGTTGTGACAGGTGGTGTTGGAAAATTAGTATTTATATTCGATGAAGATATTGTTGATGGATGTGAGGTAACAGGTCCTGATTGTTCTTTATTATTGTTGAATCGTGACGGTGTCAGAACAATGGAACTAGGTGGGGTCCTCACAGGTGTTCCCTCATTATTTGATGGCTCCACTGTGTTCGGAGCGGATGAAGTTGGCACAGGTTCCCTTCGTGAGGGTAATTCCTCCGAAGGATTGTGTTCCTGTATTCCCGGAGCGCTGAATTGCTCATTCATTGGCTCATCCTCATTAGTTTCTTCAGTTTCGCGAAATGATGGGATTAAAAAATTTGTTTTAATCGCATTCCTAATAGTCTCGATAACGCGATATGATGCCTTCCAAATTTCCTGTTCTATTACCGATAGGAGGTGCATTTCGTGCTTGCCACTAAAATAAATGTCAGTTTGTATCTCGATCTGACTACATAACATTCTCATTTCATGTGTTTTCAAATTTGCCCGACGACTATTAAGATTGTTGATCATCGTCATTGCATCCATAAACGAAAGGTAAGCTGGACGGACTCTAGATTTATAAAGTACGTGACGAGGTACGCTTCCTCGTTCCCAATCATCAAAATCATATGCCAAATCAAATTTTATTTTCTCAAGAACTGCTGGATCACGGACTGATGTAGTCTCAGGATATCCGTGGGTTACCAAGACAAATCTTTGTTGTGCTTGAAACAAGTCGTCGTAAAAGATCATAAAATCTGGCGGATCACGAATTACGGCATTTGTGAAAGTGGAATTGACGGTGGGATGAAATCTTAGACCTCGATTTTGTGTCATTTTCGGACGTATAGTGAACTTCTTACCAAGTCGTTTAATGTCCTTAGCGTTTAATCTAATATTTTTCGGCTGTGCTGGTGGAGTAATTTGTTGCTCAGAGCGCCACTTTGTAGCGGTAAGAAAACTATCGCCAATACGAAGAGTGAAGTTTCTGGAAAGATAGTCAATAAAATCCTTACGTGCTACTAACAATGGATCATGGATTTCTACCGAACAATGAAATGTCGGAACTTTACGACCTAATTCCGGAACGTAGATAGTCTGTGGGGATATCCGAGCTTCCAAGTATGGATTCAACTCACGTTCACGTCCCAGATCAAGTTTCCAAACTGATCCGTACTCTGGGTAATCCAGAGTGACTTAATATCGGCAATGAATTGATGCTAGACAAATTCCCAAATCTAATTTGGCCAGTGTTTTGTCTAACTTCCTGCTAAGCGACTTCCAAAATAGGAGATCTAGCTAGATAACTTGCCTACTCAGCTTTCCCAAGTAAATCTTGGATAATGTAGTTGATGCCTGTATCTTTAAAAGATCCAGACCAAAAATGTGCTTCCAAGCACTATATATGTACAGATTTCCCTCAAATTAAGAGGATAGTAATACCTGTATATGCGAGCGTCAAAATAGAGAGTCACAATTGGAATAAAGTCACTAATCGGGCGTTGTAATCGGTAGTTTGAAGTCCAAAATAAGGTTAACGACAAAATTTTTGTTTAATTCACTTTTATTAATAAATTGCTCGCGTTTTGTAAGTGAACTCGATGTTTTTTGTGAATGTACTTATTTAATAATAATAATTCATTAGAATTTATGCTTAAATTCTATATTTAATATCTAATATTTTAATTATTTATTTATTTCTGTGTTTTCTCGTTTTCTGTCTCTCGAAGTAACTCCCCCTTCCTGCCTCTTACCTACAACATAACTTTGTAGCGGTAAGAAAACTATCGCCAATACGAAGAGTGAAGTTCCTGGAAAGATAGTCAATAAAATCCTTACGTGCTACTAACAATGGATCATGGATTTCTACCGAACAATGAAATGTCGGAACTTTACGACCTAATTCCGGAACGTAGATAGTCTGTGGGGATATCCGAGCTTCCAAGTATGGATTCAACTCACGTTCACGTCCCAGATCAAGTTTCCAAACTGATCCGTACTCTGGGTAATCCAGAGTGACTTAATATCGGCAATGAATTGATGCTAGACAAATTCCCAAATCTAATTTGGCCAGTGTTTTGTCTAACTTCCTGCTAAGCGACTTCCAAAATAGGAGATCTAGCTAGATAACTTGCCTACTCAGCTTTCCCAAGTAAATCTTGGATAATGTAGTTGATGCCTGTATCTTTAAAAGATCCAGACCAAAAATGTGCTTCCAAGCACTATATATGTACAGATTTCCCTCAAATTAAGAGGATAGTAATACCTGTATATGCGAGCGTCAAAATAGAGAGTCACAATTGGAATAAAGTCACTAATCGGGCGTTGTAATCGGTAGTTTTAAGTCCAAAATAAGGTTAACGACAAAATTTTTGTTTAATTCACTTTTATTAATAAATTGCTCGCGTTTTGTAAGTGAACTCGATGTTTTTTGTGAATGTACTTATTTAATAATAATAATTCATTAGAATTTATGCTTAAATTCTATATATAATATCGGATATTTTAATTATTTATTTATTTCTGTGTTTTCTCGTTTTCTGTCTCTCGAAGTAACTTACGTTCAACTGTTTATAGATTACAGTAGGTTCATAGGTTACAGGTGTGTTGAACTCCACTTCGTTGCACTTCGTTACGTTCAACTGTTTATAGATTGCAGTAGGTTTAAAGGTTACAGGTGTGTTGAACTCCACTTCGTTGCACTCCGGTACGTTCAACTGTTTATAAATTACCAGTTTTCAAAATTTTTCATTCGTTTTATAAAATTTAATTTTTTCAAAGCATTCATTAGTAATGTACATTAAAAATCAATCGTAAAGATTTTGTGTTTATCTGTACCATTTCTACTTCATAACGTGTGGATTCTTAGCATAAAGATGCATCTCACATATGTAACGTATTTATAACGGATTTTTCAAATTTAAATTCAATGAATATCATTTATATGTTATGCAAAAATACGTCAAGCCGTTAATAAAAAGAAAAGTCAATTTAATTAAATTGGTGAAGTGTTATAAATAATGCAATACATTAAAAACAGCATAAATTTATGCTCAAACTATGTGTGCTAAATGTACATCGCATATTAATAGTTATTTTGTATTAATTCGTAACGGATTTGTGCTTAACGGTTTTTTTGAAAATTTAAATTTTCACTTACGAAAATTCATGAAAAAATTACTTGTCAATTTTTTTTGTCCTACCAGAATATCTTTAGCTGCTCAAATTTATAGTATAATTAATAATTAGTAATATTAATTAAACTATAATAAATCATATAAATGACTTTTGAGCATTTCAAGTATAATATTTGAAACAAATCAAAATTTTATATCATTGACATTGGATTTTTTTCCCATATAAAAAAGTTTTACTTAAATTGTACTATAATTAAGCCTTTTTGTGGTTCCAAAGTGTGAAAGTATTGTATTGTCACCGGGAATACGTATGTAATAAAAATTTGAGCTCGATTGGAGCAATAGAAGTGGTCGAAAAATCGATTGCAAGATTTGAACGTGACAAAGAAACCAACAGAGCAACTCAATAAAAAGCGTGTAAAAAAATAATAAAAATTTGTAATTATTTTTAATAAAAGCTGTCCATCAACCCGAGCGGCACAAAGGCTCCATTTGCCTTCCATATGGAAGCTATACGGAGCCTCCATGTTCCACCCTCCATTTGAAAATCTTCCGAAAACCTTACTATCATGGAACTTTGACGGAGCCAAAGCTCCGAAAATCTTCCGTGGGACGTGCATTTATTAACACCAAATGGAAGTCATTTGAGAGGTTTTGATGGAGGATGGAGGATCCATTTGTGGTAGTCAAACGGAGGTTTAATGGAAGTATTTTTCAAAGGATTTTTGGTACGATTTTCCACGTGTTTTTCTATGTTTCGCAATTTTTATATCAAGATTTGTAGCTGTATTAGTGTACTTAATTAAAGTACACTAACACTATTGAAAAATTTACAACTTAATTTAATTAAGTCGCAACCACAGCAATTTCTAAGTCTCGATCACACGCGTGAGAAACATAAGAAATTATTAAAAATTTTCATACAAATTAAACGACCCCATATAATAGTGATTTCTGCATGCGCTTGTGAAGTATGTAATTTCATACAAAATCACAAAAAATTATCCTTTTTTGCTTTTTTAAAGCTTGAAATGAAGCAATATGATTCAGTAAAGCTTTTCGACAATATTTCAATCCATTACAGTAAGATCTGACCTTTCTCTTTTAAAAATTCAAAAGCACGAGTTTTTCGGTATTTGATTTAAGAAAAAGCGGAGTTCATATGGAATCCAAATGGAATCAATATGAAGGATGAAAAAATAACCCTCCATTTACTTCCCACATAGTGGAGGTGGCTTTCATATGGATTCCATATGGAGACCACCCTCCACCTTGTGCCGCTCGGGAAGTTTAAATACAATTGAGTCTTTCAATGAAGTTTCAATTGATTTTAACCTTATTTGCAATAATATGTAAGCATTTTCTATAAAATTAGTTTTTAATAATGAAAAGTTTCTAATAATTTTATGTTTTGATTTAAGCCTGTGTTTTTGCAGGCAGTCCTTCATGGGACCCGTCTTGGTTTGACTACTGTCAATTGTCATGTGGTTTGTGCAGTCCAATACCATACGATGAACAATGTGATTGTGATTCTTTCATTGGACCAAGATGTCGTCCACGACCATCATCATCATCATCAAAGTCTGTGCCTACATCAGAATCTGAGTCTTTTATATAATTGAAAAATTCCTAGCGACTTAAAAATTTTTTATGTTTTTTATTTCTTTTAATTTGATGTCCGTTAATGTCTAGACATAATTTATTAAATTAACAATTCATTTTATGTTTCAAAATCAATTTTTTTTAAACATTCAGTTGAACTAAGGACTTTCAGAAATGGACTGAAGTAAAGATTCAGTATAAGTGGATGAAGATTCACTTTCGCTTGATGAAGAATCAATTAGAGGTGAACATTTGACACCAAAGATTAATTCGCAATCACAAAGTGGATCAAATGGAACAGGACCGCAAAGCATGCAAGCTTGTTGACAATATTCCAACCATGATGGACTAAATGATGGACCCCATGATGATTCCCATGATGGTGTTCCTGCATTTGCAACAGCTACGAAAATTTGTTACTAATTTTATGTTTTATTGAATTTTTTTTATTGATATTTACCAAATGCTAAAAAGAAACTGAAAAGTTTTTGGTACTTCATTACTGTTTTGTGTCTGTTTTGTCCAAATCTACAAACTCGACTGTCTTATTTTATTTTCATGAAGGTATTTTAAAGCTACCACGAGAAACTAGATATTAGAAACAAGAAGCTTTTGTCTATTCTTTTAAAAAGTTTGCACGATTTTTTTTATTAATTTTAATATTCTAACCGTGATTCAAATTTGTCCTTCGCGATAACAGCCTTTATTAAAATGAGCAATGGCCAATTGTATAGTAATGTAACTCATGAGAATGAAATGAAAAAAAAATGTGCCTCCTAGTGAAGGAATACAGGAGAATACACCACAGAATGCAATCATTTTCGATAAATTTGAGAAAAATCCTCCAGGATTCTCACAGGACAGATCTGACTTCAATAATTCCATTTGCATGTTTATATGAGCTGTTTGGTTCATCAAAAACGTATAAAAGACTTTGCAAAGCGTTGATCAGAGTGATTGAGTTTTACGGATTTGAATCCTACAAAACAACGATTACGGATGAAGAAGCTTGGTTTCTTTAGGAGACTAGTACTGAGTACAATTTGTGGGCCTATAAAAAATGGGGAAAAATCTAGGGATCGGTATAATGAGGAATTATACACATGGGCTGTACCACGAGGCTGATATAGTAATGATGATGTGCATAAATCGATAGAGATGAGCTGTATATGTAAATAGACACTTTTACAAGGCTCATCAGTGCTGAAATTAAAAGCAGCTGAATTTTTTAATAGGAAGAGATCTCGAGGTTGTCTGTAGAACTCATAGAATGGATGTGCAAGCAACAGTCCAAACGTGCTGAAAATTAAAAACTAGCAGAAGCTGTCTGAAGATAGAACCAGTTTTAGACGAACTCTGAATGCTTGTTTTCTGAGTTTTCGGAATCAAAGTGTTTAATTTCGAATTTTGTTTGGCAGACCAGGGTTGCGATTTAGGCACCTGTGCACAGGGCCATACAATTCCTAGATAATTTGTGGGGTTTTATTAGAATTTGTATGGTTTTGCTAGAAAAACCTTATAAATTATCAAGGGGTTGTGCGGTTCTCACCTTTGCAACCTTGTGGCAGACAGACAAGTAAGAAATTTTTATAAGTTTATTAAGAAACTAAAATGAAATTAATTTATTTTTTAAGGAGCATTCATTAGTGACTCAGAGCTTTCGGGAAATGGTGGCAAACATCTTGCTCCAAATATAGCTTCACAATCACAGTTTGGATCATATGGCTCAGGACTACAGACCATACAAACTGTTCGGCAATGTTCTATCCATGCGTCTGATGGACCTCCAGCATTTGAAAGGCTGAAAATGGCTGAAAAAATGTTATTTATTATTTAGTATGAATTAGACTGTGTTTGAATAGAAGGTAAATAAAATATGAGATTAATTAAAGATAAGTTGTGCTTTGTCGCTTTTAAAGAAGTGTGAATGGCTTGATTTTAACGGGATGTATTAATTATGGCAAGTGAAAATTGAGGATATGTGATAAACACATCGTTCAGGGCCCTAAAGGTCCTTCCAATAAATAAATGGTCAAGCTTGTCCGAATTTGTTCATAAAATGAAGGAAATTGGTGATATTCAAGTTTCTTGGTAAGTATTCTGTCACCTTACATTAAGGAATATCCACGTAATTCACAAAAAATATGTAATTCTACTTGGCTGATTCTATTTTGAAAATGACACAAAATTTGTTTTTAAAAAGCTTACCAAAAGCAACGAACAAGCTCAAAATTAAGTTGAATTTCATTTTTAAATTCTTCTTTTTCGAATTGTTAATATTGTCTAAGTTCTATCCAAGACTCTGTAACTGAAACTGCATTAGATCAGAAAAATCGGCTCCTTTTAAAGCAATTGAATTTAATAAAAAAAAATATTTTTTTAAGTTCTCACGATTTTGAAAACCTAAAAATTCGATTCGTGAAGAAACAAGAAATAAAATTAAAAAACATGTGAAATTTTATTGACTTTTAAATTTAACAAGTCGAGTCATGGTTTATTTTATGACAGAATAAAACAAAGTCCACAAAAAAGTGGAAATTTAACTTTAAAAAACGAATGAATTTGAACTTAAATTGAGGCTTCAGGCTCCTGAAACTGTTCTGGTTCTGAAAACATCAAGCATCTTGTTTCAGGCATTGTATCACAATACGGTTGACATATTGGATCGATGTTTCCACAGATTACTAGACATGACCAAGCACAATATTCAGGGTATGATGGACCTCCTCCATCTAATGATCTGATGATTGCTAATTTTTGCAATTTATTAAAACTTAAAAAATGGAAAATTTTCAACTCACTTAAAAAAAGAAAAACACAAAAAACAAGCGAATACTTCATAACTTTTTAAATAACGTCTTTCTACTGGAAATTTGCCATGGCAAATGAGATGACTTTTTAGGTGACAATTCCTTGTTATTACTTTTGGTGAGCATTCCCGAGCGGCACACAAGCGTCATATGACGGTCATATGATTGTCATATGACAGCCGTCATCGTCATAAAGACGTCATGAATGACGATCATATGATCGTCATATGATGATAAGATGTCATCACGACATCGTCTCGATTCGATTTATGACCTCATATGATGGTCATTTGACGAAAAATTCGTCACTCGACGATCAAATGAAAACGTCAATTGATGGTCATATGACGATCAAATGACAAAATGGCAATGGCGAGACGACGAGCATAAACCGTGATATATACTGAATATCGTATATATGCTGAATTTTGACTGAAATAATTTTTTTAAAATTTAACGAAAAACTTGTTAATTTGTGTAGAATAACACTAAATAATATTTATTTTAAATTATACAGCATTGATTATTGATTATTTTCTTGATATTCTTGATTTTTTTAATCATTTTCTTGATTTTCCTCGTCGTTAAATCGGTTTTGATTAGTCAACTTCAATAACTTAGCTTGATTTTCTCTTCGTCGATGTAAATAAATTTTGACGGCAGTTGAAGCATCTGCCGCTGTAAGTTTCACACGTAAGTTTGACGGAAATAGTTCTAAGAAAATGGATGAAATTAATTCATTTAATAAATTAATTTGCAGCAATTGCTTCTAAAACTTACCATTTCTTAAATATTTACACACTTTGATTATTCTTAAAAATTTTACAACGGATTGAAATAATTTTCCTTCCTTCACTTCAACTTCTCGAACACAAATGAATAAAACAAAATTTTTACCCAAACTAGTGTATCGAGAAGAAACCCAATGCGGATTATATTAACACCGTACTATCAAAGTCTTATGGATAGACAAAGATTTGCCCATCATAAGTATGAATGTATGAAGCTTGATAAGTCAACTTCGCTCAGCATAAATTTGAAGTTATAAAGCTATCGAGTCAGCTGAGCTTCGCTTAGTATAAGTTTGAAGGTATAAAGCTTGACGAATATCCCAAACATTCGTATACTATATATTATAAAAATCACAGTGAACTTTTGCTTTGAAAAATTCATAAGAAAGGAAAGTTTTTTGCCTTTTCTGAAGCAACGGCTGTTCCTACCTTGCCTAAAAACAATACAGCTCTTGTATAGAGCAGCACGGATCAAATGTAAAAAACTAGAAGTCTTTACGATGTCTCGTTATTGAGATTTCTTGCTTGTTTGCTTGTTTGCTTGTTTACAGAAAGCGTATTTTGCGATTTTCTCAGCAATGCCACAACCAATTTGAAATCTGTTTTTTGAAAGTGATGTGAAATTCCAGGCACAAACTGTTTATGTCTGAACATTTTAAGCTATCTTGCTCCATATCCTCACAAAATTCTAAAAACTTATTTTTCAATCTGAACAAAACCAATAGATTCACACGTGAAAACGGTGTGAATTTAAAAAAATGGTAACTTTGATTACCATTGATAATTTTATGTCAAGTTTTGCAATCATTTTGAAGATCATTTTGATGATAAGCATATCTATTTTTACATTCAAAATTCGTTAGTAATCTGTGAGCATACCTTGAATGAAAGCTCATTTACAAAATCTCAAGAAAATAATTCAAAAAAAATTTTGTTCAATCTTCGAAATACCATTCAGAAAATAATTATCAATTTTTACAGTGCAAAAACAGTTCAAAGAAAAAAGTTTAAGCAAAACATACAATCGAAATTGGCAGAAAATCAAAAATTATCGTCATTCATGACTTTCATTTGATCGTCATATGATCGTCATAATATTTTAGAAAAAAAAAATCATCGTACAATCATCATCGTCATGACGAAGACGCTCATATGACGATCATTTGATCGTCATCGTCAAATTGTGCCGCTCGGGATTCCAACGACTTTTTCAAAATCTTTAAATTTCACGTTTTTCTTATTTTTGTATCTTTTGTTCTCATCTTCAATAGCTTTTCTGAAACAAACTTAAAAGCATTTAAAGTGTAGCACAATGAACTGAATTGTCTTAGAAAATAAAAATTACAAAACTTTATTTTTTAAGTACAGATTTTTTTTTAAAAAAAATTAAATATTAAATGTAACAAGTTCTATGTCTTTTTCACATTATTCTTCATTTTATGATAATGGATAGCTAGCAAATGATCCCATAATTCAGTGTTGTCAGGAAAATCAATTTTACATTCACAGCACTCGTAGCTGACTGAGCTACTTGTCGATTTTGGTTTAGTAGCTTTTATTTTTGTTGAATCTTCCTCTTTTTTCTTAGAATTTAGTGAAAAACTTGTCGAAATTTTGAGCTGAGTTAATTTTTTAATAGGTTGACTTGCTTGAAAACTTCCGTGTTGTGTTGACTTCTCTGTGGAATTTAAAAATGATTTATTTTGAAATTTGAAACTATCGTCAACATTTTCTTCAATATCTCCATTTTCATCATCAAGTCCCGGATCCAATTCTTCCATTAACTCAACCTCTTCCTCATTTAAATCAGCATCCAAATAATCATCTGTTTCTTCCTTTTTGATGAAAGTTTCAATTGAACTTTTTTCTTCATTATTATGAACTTTTTGAATGTGAATTCGAAGATTTTTTAAACAGAAAAATTCAAACTTGCATGACGGCACTGAACATTTTAATGATTTTCCTATTTCATGTCTTTGGTTGTGCATTTTAAAGTTGTCAGATCGATTTGTTGTATAATCACAACGGGTGCATTTGAATTTGAAGGGATCTAAAAATAAAATCAATTACTAAGTTTTTGAAAATATTAAGAATTTCAATCTTTTGATTTTTAAGGATCAAAAATGTTTAAGTGTCCTAGTCAATGTTCAATGACCCAAAACTCTGAGATTAAGGTTCAAATAAAGCATAGAGTTCAATAGTTGATTAAAAAAACTGAACAACCTCTAAACTTAAAATGGATTTAAAGAGTTTAAGCTTACATAGATCCTTAAAAACCTTAAGCTTAAGCTTCATATCATAGCTTAGAATATTTCTATTTAAAATCAATTTATTCCTTACCTTTATGAGCAGTGGTCATGTGTCTTTGTAAACTCCTAGCTATTGCGTATCTATGTCCACATACCTTACACACAAACTTTCCATTTGTGGCGCTATGCGCATTTGAATTTACATTCAAACGAGATTTTGCTATAATTTTCTTAACAATACTTATAGGAGCAGAGTTTGTGATCTTTTTTGTTGGTAAGTTTATCAGCTTTTGTTGTCCAGATTGATTTTTATTGCCTTCTAATCCATTCCTGTTGGATGGTTTTTCTATCATTCCTACTTCATCTTCTAGCTTTTGTCTCATAAAATCACTATGTTTCTTCATTCTATGCTGCTTTAAGAGAGTCAATGTTGTGAATGGTTTGCTACAATGTGGACACTCAAATCCGTGAGCTTTCCTCATGTGACTTCTCCATGTTCCTGGGGCTTTGAACTCCATTTGACATTTTTCGCATTTATAATTTGTTTTATCTGTGGAAAGAGGTAAGAATTAGATAGCTACGAGCATCTTAGTTTTTTGAAACTTGACACTTTAGAACTACATTTTTAACAAGTCAAGGGGTCCAGCGATCATAATGACAGTAAATCCCCTTGCTCTGTTTAATGCGTACCGAGAAGGAACACAGCGTAAAAATCGCTGTCAATCTGGATGGCTTAAACTCAGCAGAACGCTGGATTTCACCAAATTCGACGTTGTGCCACGTCCAGGATGACATGAACTTGGCACAATTTGTTGAAATGCAGCATTCTGCTGAGTTTATGCTGTTCTGGATGTCGATTGACAGCCATTTTCACTCCGTGTGCCTTTCGAGGAAGTCCAGAAAATCACAAAATTTGACTTTTTATCACAATTGTCTTAATAATAGAACAGATCTAAATATCGTTATTCCTTAACTAACCTGAATGTAATGGCATGTGCTCCGCAAGATGATTCTTAGCTTTAAACCTCTTATGACAAACTGTACATGGGTATTTACGATTATCATACTTTGGATTGCTCATTTTGAATAATAAACTTTTGGACAATTTTTTGTCGACTATGCTCATTTTGAAGATGTATGCAGTTTTATTAAATTTTGAAATGAGTCAAGAATAGCTTCTGTGGTTTGAACTATTTAATTTAACATTGTTTGTGTTAACTTTAATGAGCTGCTGTATTTATTTAAATAATTAAACTATCCAACTTAGTTCACTTGCTAGATCAGTTCACAATTATCAGAGGACTTATATTTGCCACATACAGCAAATAAAATAAGGATCAATCTTTAAATATTTACGATCACACAATTCGAAATTGCAATTTTTCACAAATCTTTCACAATTTAAATTCTTCTTCACAATTTCAATCCTTTCTGAACTGTTATTAATGTACAATTAATGTATCTTTTCACAATAATTTTAAATAACTCAGCAAAATACCTAAATTGATGAAATTTTAACGAAGTTTGGAAACTAAATGACTCAAAATTGTGATCTAGCGTTTGTAAACATTCAATGTTTTTGTTTACATGTGGAAAAAGTTTGAGAACCTCTGAACATTTTGACTCAAACATTGAATTTTAGAGTTTTGGATGTTGTGGAAATTTGAAAGTTTTGACAATCTTTGGTGTTTGTGAAATAAAAATCTTCATTCAAGACTGGTTAATTTTTTGCTGTATTCTAATTAAGTCATACCAAAAAACATAAATTCTTAAAATCGTGTACGGCACTGTTGTCCAAACTGTGTGACGTAGAATTTTTTTTAAACTGCCCACATGCTGTGTCCGACTTTGGTCATGGCTTACCCATCGGTTTGTATGATTTGAGACGTGCAAACTGTGGCAAGGTACTTTGCATTGATAAATCCTGTGTCAATGCAACTGTGCAGAGTTGCAAATACGCAATCGTCCGTTGAGGACAAAATCTGTCTGTAAAAAGACAAAAACCAATTGTCCGTTGAGGACGAAAATAATCAAATAATTTTGGATGTGAACGCATCGATCATCATCAATGAATTATTTCAAATCTATAATTAAGTTGTAATAGCCACTGGCGCTAGCTCTCTTAAATTATAAATCAATGAAATGCAGAAATAAAATATAACGTTTAATAAATGGCATGGCTTGTAAATTTTACCCTTGTTTATTCAACTATAAACATTCCTTAATTTTCTCGAATATTATTAATTAATTATTCAACTTGATATTGTTCAACTTGATATTGTCTTTAAAGTTAAGTTTACTACCCGAATGGGTCAATAAATACATTGAATTCAATTGTAATTCCTCCAAGGTTTTTTGCGCTCCTTCTAACAGTTTAAGTACTGTTTTAGGGAGCTATTTCCATGGACGAAGGAAAACAGTGAAATAATGAATAAATTCATTCATTCAAATACCCAAATGGCCATTTTTACATAAGGATTATCCATCTAATTTATGTTAAACTAATGCTTTTTGAGCAAATGACTCCACAACATAAAAGAATCCTTAAACTTCTTAGAACACATCAAGCATTCTAATTTAAACTGATTTTTAATTTCTACAACTTTAATTGTCGTTGAAACGGCTGTCGCTTCCAAATTTTCAGAATCTAATTTAGATATTGAAAGAGTTGATAATTTTTTAAGAAAAGATGAAGATATGGAAAGATCAGTTGATAAATTTGTAGCTTTCGGAGAATTGGATCTCGATGATGATGAAGACGAAACTGGAGATATGTCTAGGAATGGTGATAAAGCTATGAATTTTCAGTAAAAATCCTGAATAGCACAAGTCAGTTAATCAATTAGACATTCAGCACCAAACTGGAATAACTCTGGCATGGAGCTGGACTTAAATCTAATCCAGTTTGAGAAGCAACTGGCTTGTTGCCAGATTTCTATTCGATTAGCCGACTTGTGCTATTTAGAATAGATTGTTAATAACTTTAGCTATTTAGTCAATAAGACTTTTTTACTTACTTTCTCCTCTGTATTTTTTTAAATCAGACATCTGAGACATTGATCTTGTCATAATTTGCAAACCTTTTGATTTATCATCATCATCTGTTCCAGACTCATCGGAAAGTTTCAGTCTATGATGATTAACATGATGCTTCTTGAGACATTTAATTGATGCAAATTTCATGCCACATTCTCCGATTGAACAGATAAATTTAAGACGATTATGAGCTCGGAGGTGCATTAGCAAAAATCTTTTATTTGGAAGTATTCGTTTGCATTTTGGACACTTTAAATTGGCATCTGTAGATTTTTGGAAATTTATTAAATAATTTAGATAAAATTTCAAATATCACAGACAACTCACTAATATGACTAGCTACATGTATTCTAGCAGATCCAATTTTCCCAAAACTTTTATCGCATTTTTTGCATTGAAAATTAAGTCGACCTCTAAATTTTCGAATCCGAATGAGATCATTTGAAACTTTCTGCTGTGCTCTATATTTTTCAGCTCTTTTTAAACTTTCGGCACGTTTTCTATCAAGTTTCAATTGTTGTGAAATGCTGGCAGCTCTTAAATTAATCATATGATGTTCATCTTCTTCACTGTTGCATGCAGAAAAGTAAGACGACGATTCAGAATCAGTTTCGTTGTTTTTCTTGTCATCGCATTTGATTTTCTTCTTTACCGGACTTTTCAACGCCTCTTCTTCAATTTGTTGAATCAGCAGTCTAAAGTTTTTTATGATCGGTCGAGTTTCACTGCTTTGTATTTGGTTCTTATCTATGCTTATAGAATTTGACGAGTTTGACTGTTTGGTGTCAGGTTTTGTCATTTCTGTGCTGCTTTTATGTTGATTTGGATTTCTGTCGGAACTGCTTTTTTCTAATTTTATTTCATTTTTAATGACAGATTTTTTATTTCTGATTTTTTGAGTTATATTTTTGCCAGAATGACCTGTTTCAGCTCGATGTTCATTCAATAATTTTAAGGTACGAAAAGTCATTTTACAGTCAATTTTGCAGCATTTATAGAAGTAATATTGATGTGATATCAAGTGTCGTTTCAGATTTGCATAAGTAAAAGCACAATAATTACATTTGCTGCATTTAAACGAATGTTTTGGTCTTTTTGGTTTCTGAGAGCTTGTCGGTTTTGAGACGGGTACTGAAGATGCTTTATAAGAAGATTTTTTAAGGATTTCATACTCTTTATGATTTGATTTGGATTGATGTTCATTAAGAAATTTAGAGTTTGAAAATCTCATATTGCATACTAAGCATACAAATCTAAAATTATTATGAGCTTGCAGATGTCTTTCGATATGTCCTGGGCGTTCAAAAATCCTGTCACATTTTGGACACTCATAAGATTTTACTGTAATTTAATTATTTTAATATTAAATTCTTTTTTTTGAAAATCCCTTTTAAAACCCGAAATTATTTATTAAATGAATCTCGAATTTATTAGGAATTTTACATTTCCACGTTTATTGGCTCAGGGATTTTTTTAAGGATTTTTGGGATTTTTCAGGATTAAAACATGGATTTGAGTATCCAGAAACCGTGTCCGTTAAGGATTTGGAAGCAAATTGTTGGGGAGTGATGAAACTTGGCCTGAATTGACTCGACTACCCGTTCTCGTGTAATTTCGGGAAACTGATCAAAAAAATGATCAAAAATGATCAAAAATTGTCAAAAATGATCAAAATGTAATTAATCATTTCTGCACCCTTGAAAAAAAAATAGAATTTCAAATACTTTTGTTTTTACCTGAATATTGTTCCATTTAAATATATTTTATTTCAAAATAATTTTTAAGAAAATTGGGAGTTCAATATTTCGGAATTTATGAAAATATTTTTTATCTCCCTTTACACTTTTCATCTACGAGTAACTTTGCTTGCTTATTTTTATTTTAAACACCCGAAAAACCTATTTTTATGAACAATATTTTTTTTTAAATTTTTAATCTCAATTAATTTTTGAACACCAATTAAAAACTTATTTTCATCAATTTATATTTATTAGATAAAACATATTTCTTCTTATTTAAAAAAAAAAAACAAAATTCTTTATTCTTTTTGAACAAAAAATGTATCCATTTTCACAGTTATTAAGGCACAGCACACAACATGATCACTTGATGTCTCACTATTAACTAATTCTCCTTTCCTTCAAACATACAATTGTGCATAATTGCTAGAAAATTATTGCTATTGCATAAATGACGTCACAGAGTTGAATATAAATTTTTGATCAACTAGCGTTTTTTTTCGAATGTCATTTATGCCGTCGTTAAGACAAATTAACTTGTCAAATGATCAAAAATATTCACTGGGAAATGATATTGAATTTTTGTCGATGCTGAATTCTGTCAAAGTATCTTAATTGCCAAACCAATCAGAATTCATTATAAAGCGTGTAAAAAGCATGGAGAGGGCCCAGCCTTTTGAGTTGGAGGCATGTCTATCGGAAAATTGGCTCCTGAAGATTGAGCATAGAACTGTGACACCGTTTAGTTTTTAAAGTCAACCCTCCCCTCTGTGACACCCCTCTGATACCCCTTATTAACCGTGGTCCCTTTATACATGTCCCAAATCAATTGACTTTACACAGGTTTCGTTCTAGACTCAACAAGTCAGGGAATTGGGTGTTTATAATATAGATTACTTTTGATTAATCATGTATTTATGTCCAAATTTAAAATCTTATCAGCAAATATTTACTGTCGATTTTAGTATCGAAAACGAAGTTTATCAGAGGAGCTCAATCTTTTTGACACAGCACCAGGCGCGTAGCCAGGAGGGCATTGTCCCTCCTAAGCATTTTAGGCTGTTCTCTCGCTGCGGTTCAAACCGTTTAAGGGGGGACAAGACCCTCCTTGCTACGCGTCTGCACAGCACACATTATTTCCTTTCACAAAAATTATGAGTTTAAGGATCCGTATGTTATTGGATTTTCCGTACTTTTTCTTGTTCCCCTGCTTTTGAATATTAGTAAATTAAGATCGAAAGCTCGAAAGATCACGAGGAAGACCAAAGAACACCTGGATTTGATGTGTAGAAAAGGACGCTTAGGTCCTTAATATCCCGAACTGGCAGAAGGTTTCTAAGGATAGAGCTGTTTTCAGACAATCTCTAAGCGCGGCAATGGGCCTACTTGCGCCCCAACCAAGAAAGTAAGTAAGTAAGTAGGATCGAAAGCACATACATTAAAGCTTAAATCAGGGAGAAAACCGGGGGGGGCAGGAGAAAGGAAAATATTTTTTCTAATACTCAGTTTTTGAGCTATACATCTGAATTCCTGGAAAATAAAAAACTCAGCTCAGTGGTTTTCCCCTTGGCTTAAACGCTGCTAATAAAGGCTGTGTATGAAGAATAATGAAAATAAGATTGTAGCCGTATATAAAGATGTGACGTAATAAAGTATATCTTGTTATACGAGCGTAAATGATTAGCACTAAAATGTTTTTCTTTCAATTTTATTCATTTTAATTTCGACAGTCTTTGAGTCAAGATAGCAAATTTAAAAATCTTTGACTATAAATTGCAATTTCTATTAAATTAAATAATATTAATTAAGGTAACTTTAATAAATAAAAACTTCATTTCACAATTAATTGAAATTATTAATAAAAATGTTATATTCTTATCTTTCAGGTGTAATGCCAGAGTTGGAATATATTTCGGTTGAATATTCATCGAGCAAAGAAGAATTTTTAAAAAATTTAAAACATGAGAAAGAAACAAATTTAAATTCCAATTTTTTGCAAGTAACAAATATACCGTCAGCTAGAAATGCCATCGAACTTATCTTACAAGAATGGTTCAAGTCGATAATTTGTGAAAACAAAGATATTTTCGGTTTAGATTTAAAGATTGGAGAGAACGTTGATGGAAATTTCAAGGAGCTACCTCGCTATTTTGAATTAAACTTTAGAGACTACTTTATTATTACTTTTCAATCGTCAACTGGTGACTGTGAGAGTATGACTTACTGGAAAGTTCCTAATCGTGAACAATTTTATTCAACTTTTATTGATGATGATAAGGATGAAGTTATGCTGCAATTTCTTCACGAGTTCCTAGTTGAAGAGTGTTATGATGACGATTCTGGTAAGTTTTTTATAAATTATAAGACCGGAAAACAGGCGTGTAGCCAGGAGGGTATTGTCCCCCTTAAACGTTTTGAACTGCAGCGTGAGCACGGTCTAAAACGTTTAGGAAGGGAACAAGACCCTTTTGGCTACGCGCCTGTCGGAAAACATTAAATTTTAATGATTTAAAATTTAAAATAATATTTATTCTAATCAGCAGAAGAGCCGAACAATGAAGCCATTTCTAAGGAACTGACAATTTCTTCAGGTGTCATGAGTGCATTTAAAGAAAAAACTGAGATTTTACTTCATGAATTAGGAAATGATTTAAACAGCAACCTTTTGATGATGGCTGCATTATGGAATAACGTTGATGTTGTAAAGCTAGCTGTGACAAGAGAGTTTGATGTTGACTATAAAAATGATTATGAAGATATGGCAATTGACAAGGCATGGTCAAGATTCATTGGTTCTGATGTGAAAGATCAAAAAGAACCTGAAGAAATTATTCTTTGTCTTCTTAATGCTAATTCTGTCTATCCAAAGAATTTCAACTATGATTTAGCATCAGCAAAGATAAAACAGTTTGTAGACATTTCTGAAGGCTTATATCGAGATGTTAAGAAAGGCAATTTTGATTCTCTAAATCTAAAACTAAAGGAGCATCCAATTTTGATGCATTTCTACAACAGAAAAAATAAATCTTTACTTCTACATGCTTTAGAGACTAGAAAGTTCAAAATAATTGATTACTTAGACAACGGATTAAATGTTGGAGCTCATGAATTATTGAAATTTTCTGATCAATATAAAGAATTGTATAATGAAGATCTTACAAACCTCCGTGAACAGCATAAAATAAATGCAAAAGAGCTTCCAAAAACTTACTTGTTGGTCCTTCGATCCAAGACAAAAATTGGAAGCAATGATCAACTCGCTCACGTTCGTAGAAAGAATGTTGAAGAAACTTATGATGCTCTTGATAAGAACGACTTCTGTTCTTTGCTGCTTCAAGTTGCAGCTCAAGTAAAATCAATCAAGATTTTCTTTGATTTCAAGCACGAAAGTATTTACTATTTGGATCCAATGAAGAAAATCACTACGTTGGGTACAACATATCCAAATGGAACTATATTTATTGGAGCAAAACAATTGTTGGACGAAAGTACCAAAAACAAAGTTTTGTCGACAGTGGCTCATGAGTTGTGTCATCTTGCTGTACTTGTAACGTACATGAATACAAGTTTTGATCCATTTCCAATGGGCGACAGTGAAGAGAAACAAATGTATATCAATAAAGTCATGGACGATTGTAGAAAAAAGAAGGAACTAGAACCGATTGTATCAAATGCTTTTGGATATTCCGAGCACTTACAAGCATCAGAATTGATTGTTACTGTTGCTGAAATGTTAATGTGTTACAAGAATGATGAAGCAAAAATTGACAAAATTCAAGAAACTTTCGAGCAGCTTTTCAAATATGCTAAAGAAGTTGTTGAACCTGAGATGTATAAAGCACTTATAGTTTTACGTAAACTTGGAGATCCAGAAATAAACATCAGATATGATAGCTTGACAGATGTAATGAAGAAAAGTATTTCTCATTTATCAATTAATCTACAAGGTGTAAAAACTACATTTTATGACCTTTTTGGCGATGATGACACGTGTCAAGAGTTTTTGACATCTGATAACATTCGTGACATCTTATTGAATGGAAAAGGAATGCAAATTGGTGAAATGTGCAAGCTTGATCCAAAATATACATTAATCGAGAGAAGTTTCATGAATAGAGAGACTTATCAGCAACTTAAATCATCTGATATTGAGGAATATAATATGAGAGTCAATGCCAGATCCAAGTCAATGATGAGAATCAGAAAAAATACAATCAAATTCTTCATTCTTGCTGATTTTGGAGGCACTGGCAAAACAACATTTTTTAAAGATGCAGCAATAAAAGTCAAAAATCATCATAAAAATTATTGGGTATCATATGTGAATTTAAGGAAAAGTGACAAAGTGTTTGTGGCTTATAAACCTAAATTATGTAACTTAAATGCAAATGACGTAATGGAAATACTGAGCAGCATCGTTCAGAACGGAGACGGTAAACTGTCAGCTTTTGAAGAAAAAATATTTAAAAAATTATTCGCCAGAAATCAAGTTGTATTGTTTCTTGATGGAGTTGATGAGATATGTCCAGAACATACTGAGCTAGTGATGGCTATTTTTGATATTTTAAAGAAATGCAGAGGAAAAAATGAAATTTGGATATCTACACGACCTCATTATGCAAATCCAATTCAAAATATATTCAAAGTTACACCAATTTGCTTTGTTTTGTACACTATGGAGCAGAAAGTTAAATTTATTAAGGATATACTGAACAAAAATGGAATAACTGATGAGACTGAAGAAACCAATGCAGTTGGACAAATTAATGCTTTCATTTTTCATCTTAATTGGGAACCAGGTTTCTTTTCTGATCCTGATCATCCACTCATCATTGAAATTATTACCGAAATTTACGTTCAAAAACGAGAACTAAAACTTGATGCATCCAGTTTTTATGGGCTTTATGCTGCAATGATTGACAAACAGAAGGAAAAAGTTGGAAATAAAATTCCAAATATTGAACGTGATCCATTTTCAAGTTTGTCTGTTTGGCAGGCACATCAAGTTCTTGCAATTTTGGTCATTTTTGGTGAACTTTATGATAGATCTTTTCAATGTACTTTGCCTGATGGATCTTACTATAATGAAGGTTTTTCATTTACACTTGAAGAATTATCGATTATTGAAAAATGGAGAATGGAACGAAAAGGTGGTAGATGGACATCCGATATGATTCAGCGGTATGCCTTTGTGACTGTAAATTTAAATAATCTGTTGGAAGATCGAAGCTGTATTGAGTTTTCACATAGAACCTATGCAGAGTTTTTTATTGCTCAATTTCTCATCGATTTCTTATTTAACCAAAATTTCAACGAGACAGAAATGATTAAAATGATGCACATTTTACAAATTGTCCAAGGAACACCAGGACTTGAAAATACCTACAAATTTATCATAAGTTTTTCAAAGACAATTGCGAAGAAAGAAAAATTTAAATTTCATCCATTAATTAGACTTTATTTTAGAAAAAGGATTTTAAAAGCACTTATAGATAAAGAAGAACTAAAGTATCATTCAGATCCATTCATTTTCTTTGGCAAGATTATTGTGTGTGATGAAGATTTAACCCAAAAACTATGGAGATTAAATCCTAAACATGAACGAAATTCTTTTGAGATAATAATCACTCATAAGGACTTTAAGTTCCTTAATCTTATCATCGAAACAGCTAATTTTGTATTTGATGAGAATTGGCATGAAACGTTCAATAAAAGTGATAAGAAATTAATAAGTGATGAACAGATTGAAGGTATGAGGGATAAAATAGTTGAAAGTTGGGACGACTGGCGAAAAGAGAAGAATTTATTAAAATTCTGTGATTATTTACATAAAAATTTCGATGCTAAAGTCCAAAGAAAAATTCATGATAAAATGGTTTTTGCTTTTCATGTCACGAATCAGAAGATTTTAACTGAAATTCTCAAAATAATGAGTGAAATTTATGACAAGGAAACATTTACAAAAAAGTGTATTGATAATATGTTTTATCCATGCGCTGTGGGAGAAAGTATAATATTCATTTGTAAATTTCTTGAGGAGCTTTATGCTAAAGATCGTAATGCGATTAGAAAAATATTATTTGAAGACCTTCGAGATGATAAATCACCTCTTTTTACTTCTTTCTATACTCGCAATCTTGAATTATTTTTATTCATTAAAGATTTTTATCTTAAATATCAAGATTCTGCTGAAGATACTCAAAATATTTTATTAGAAATAGATATTGTTGATGTTTTCAAATATGCAGTAGCATCTGAATTGTATGCTGACTTTAAAAGCTTTTTTGCAATAATTTTTAATAATAATGCAGGTCATAATGAGACAATGTTCCGAGAAAAGGTTTTATATTACATTAGCAACGATCGTGAAGCTTTTGAAGAGTTTTCTGAAAATGTGGAAAATTTTATAAACTTCATAGTTTTCAAAGAATAGATTGATTAACGAAAGTTTTAAATATCTTTATATTACGTTGTGCTATTTCGACTGTTTGAGCTTTGAAATAAAATTTGATAAATTCCTAATAGTGGCTTAATATTTCCTTCCTTAAATTCTTTAACACTTCCATAGAATCTAATTAGTGTAAATGAAAAAAATACAACAATTTTTTGATTTAATTAAGTCATATTTATTCAATAATTTCAGATTAATTCTGACTGCAAAATCATTTAATGGAAAACTTTGTGTATAATTCAGAGATCGAAGCCGATTTTTTCAGCTTAACTCAATTTTTGATTTTTTTGATAGAAAAAATCCATTTAACACCCATTTTAAGTATTTAAATTGAACTTTACATGCTTTACTATGATTCTGTGTAATATTTTGTCAGCATGTAGCTATAGTAAGCTCTGAATTTCAATTTAGCCGATTTTAAGCCGATCGGCTTAAATTTCGGCTTAACATTCTTTAACTTGAAATTCTGAGCTCACTATAGCTACATGCTGAAAAAATATTACACAGAATCATAGTAAAGCATGTAAAGTTCAATTTAAATACTTAAAATGGGTGTTAAATGGATTTTTTCTATCAAAAAAATCAAAAATTGAGTTAAGCTGAAAAAATCGGCTTCAATCTCTGGTATAATTGAATGAAAATAATTTTTTTTTTATATAAATACAGCAAACTTGAATACTATCCTTTCAGTAGTTCATTAGTGCACTTTCAAAAGACATCATAAAAAATGAAGTTCATTAAATTAATTTACGTCTAAATATTTTTTGCTGCAGCTGTTTCAAGCAGTGCTAGTAAAGTTACACTTGAAGATTTTTATAACGAAGTTCTCGATCAAATGTCAAGAATCAATTACTATCGTTATATAGAAAATACCTTCAAGACCATTAAACATGAATGTTTGGAAGACTCAATTAAATTGGATATGAATGGCAATAAAATGATTACTTATGCACAAGGAACTATCATTATGGTATCAGCTATTGACAATTGTCTAACAACAGATAAAAATATGTTTTGAAGAGAATCAATCAAGGCTTTTGTAAATAAAGCAATTGGAAGCAGCTGGCCACTAAACTGTTATAAACAGGCATTGTATGACATGGCACCAAACTCAACATTGTTAAAAGATTATTACGACCAAGGATTATCTGAACAATGTTGGAACGCTGATGATTTTGATCCAGCAATTCGATATCTTATTGAACTAACTGGAGGACTTTCAATTTTCTCATGTGGTGCAATTTCTGAGTATGATTTTAAGGTTTATATGATGAGAGTGCTTATCCTGCATAAAACTGAAGATGAGGTTTTTAAAGTTCTTGAATAAAATAGACTTATAGATGAATTGAGAGTGAAACTACTGTTGATTAATAAATGTGTGTTGAAAGAAATTGAAAAACCAAAAATATTTGAAAGAAGACGTCCAACTCGGGGTTTAAGACGTAATTACTTAAATGAAAATATTCTATATTAGTTGAAGAAATTTAAGCTTCTGTCGTTGGATTGCTATACACTAAGCAAAGATGATTTATAAGGTGAGACTATAGATGAGTTTCTTAAACCTTCGGTATATGTTAACTTTTAATAGTTAATGTGTTTAAATCATGCAAAAACTGGACTAGATTATAAAAATAAGTTTATTGCACTTTATAATATGAAAATAAAATAAAATGGTAAAATAAGTTTCATATTTTCAGCAACAGCTCCTTCCTTGGAAATAAAGATACTCAAGTAAAAATCCTAACCCTAAAAATAATGATTTAATCTTTGGATCCATGCCTGTGTCCGCAAAATAAATGTTAATTGTATAGCTGTTTATATCTGTATTCCACTGACGTGTTATTGTTCCGGCTTGTTGTTGTTCATCTGCTGTCATAATCTGGGAAAAATTATTGCAAAATTAATTGACTTTGGAGGGGTCGTTTATTTATGACGTCCGAGATCTGGGAGTCGCAAAAAGTAAATCATAATTTTTGGTAACCTTTGATTTGACGTCACAAAAGAGGGGCGGGAGCTACTGTATCTGTGACAGTTTTGCGAATAAGGGGGTCAAACAATCATCTTTTTTATGGACGTCATAAATGATGTTTTATGTAGACACAAGGCGTGAAAACAAAGGATTAATCCTTAAAAATCCCTGAGCCAATGAACATAAAAATGTGAAATCTCTTTGAAACCCCGAAGCTATTCATTAAATGCATCAGGGATTTAAAGGGATTTCACATTTTTATGTTTATTTGCTCAGGGATTTTTTAGGATTTTTGTGATTTTTGGTGATTAATCCTGAGTTTCCACGCTTTGAGTAGACTAATGCTAATTTAACTTGAAGGCCCTCACCCTAAAATGATATTCCTTTGGCATACAAATGGAATGGCCTAATGATATCCTTACTTTGAACATTTCCTGTCCCCTCTCACTTTCAATCACAATTAATCTATCCTTCAATGAAAATTTCTCTTGAACAATTCCAAGCAATATTCCTGGATTAAGCCACACTTCAAGTGACTGCAGTTTCATTGGTAAACAAAAAAGTCGACACCCAAAATCTCGTCTCATTGTAAGAGCTTCTTGATATTGCTTGTCCATTAAGTGCATCATAAATGATCGTGAACTTCCCCAAAGCAATCGATCACGAGGTGTGGATCCTTCTGATGCTAAAAATATTGACTCGTTGTCATGAGTTTTAATTGTAAAGCGATTTTCAGAACCAGAAGGAAGGGCTTAAAATAGAACAATTTAACAGTTATTATATTTGAAATCATGCTTGTTTAAATGTTTGCGAATTTTATTTTGATTTTGACTGATTATTATAACCTGTTGTAGATATCCCTATAGTTGCTATATGTGTATACAAATGTAAAACAAGTTGAGTTTGATGGGAATCGAACTTGCGACCTCAAAAGAAGCGATTTTTGACTACTCGATCAGAGATCCCTGCCACTCGGTCATCTAGGTACTTATCTTACTTCGGCTATCCGTCATACACATACAACCAGTATCACTGGTTCTTTGAGCCATTTGTACACCTGTACAATAACTTCAAACTTTTTTCAGATCCTAGTTGCTATAGCCTCCACTCTGATTGAACTAGTTTCATCATAACTTTTTAAATCAGCTCAAAATTGCAATTTTTGCTAAGAAAACCACTCAAAATTTCATTTCTTATCACTTTTCCGTATCGAAAACAAAAAAACAACAGCCTTAAAAACACATTCAAAGACATTAATTTCACAAACAATCACACTTACTGTCGTTAATCTCAAATACTTGATGAATATGACAACTCGGAATGTCATTAAGTGAGCTAATACCGGACTTGTGAAGATAAGATGATAGCGTTGATTGTGATGACGCTATTTCAATCGTTGATACACTTGGTGTTGTGCCATATGATGTAATAATACTTTGGTTACTTCTATAAACTACTGGTTCAACTACTGTTGGCTGTGCGACTCTTAAATTTCCTCGAGTTTGAAGATTTCCCAGTGAATTGCTTTGTAAATTGTTCATAATTTAATTTTTCTTATAACTACTTTTATATTTAACCAACATCGATGTTGAATCCACGAAGGTCTCAAAAACAATAACTCAAGTCACTGTATACACAACATACACGATTAGGTATCGATGTCGACAAGTCTGTTATCAACTTTGTATATGAATAAGTGCAAGTAGACGAAAATTTACCGTTGATATCTCTTATTTTGTGGTAGTGCACGATTCGCCTCAATGTTTTTATAGAAAACGTATATAGAGTAATAATAATTAAAGTAAAACTTATTGATATAATTATTAATTTTTGTTTGATGGTAATTAAATTGTGACTGAAACGTGATAAAAGTTAAGTTTGTCGTAGTAAAGTTATTGAAATTTATAAAGTGTAGCTACACTTATATATGTATATACTATAATCAACAGGCTAGGTTGTGTGAGAAAATGTATTTTGCTAATGGGACAGGAGTTTATGGTCAATTGATTCCTGCAGCTTTCTATAACTGCATTCCTCAGAATATACCAATGCCAAGGTGTCGAAACTCAAGATTAATCCTGAAAAATCCCACAAAATCCCTGAGACAATAAACATGAAAATGTAAAATCCTTTTTAAATCCAAAAATTATTCATCAAATGCATCAGAGAACATCTCCACAAGTAATGGAGTCGCAACTCACAAATTACCATGACTAGAACAGCGAAATGCACAAAAATCCAACAAGACAATCCTTGGGATCGAACCAAGGTCGTTAAGGTTGGTTGGCTAACACTCTTACCACTACGATACTTTCTACTACGAAACAACCTTTCTTCGGTTTATTTATTAAATTTCTTTCATGTCATACATTATTGCTATCACTTAATCTCTCAACAAGATTAAAAAATTAATGAATAATTTAAAAGCAAAAACTGATAAGATTTAAAAAAAGCAAAAGAGAAAAGACAAAATAAATAATAATATTATAAAAATATTAAAATCGATACTAATCAAACCGTTCGTTAATATGTAGCAATACAAATGTTTTGTAAAACAATAACATTCAGCTTCGCTAGTAAACGTAAAAAGCGTGATGCGATAAGAAAAACGAAATGCAAATAATAAAGTTGAAGATCGAAAAATTGTTGATAATTATTATTATTACCAAAGTAGTAAGCATACCCTAATGGCTGGCTAATCAATCAGAAATCCGAGACCAAGCTGGTGTGACTTTAACATGGCGCTGGATTTAAATCATAGCCAGCACCATGTCAGATTTCTATCCGATTAACCGAACTTGTGCCATTTGGGACAACTTAAACTAGAAATTCTTGATTTTAATTTAAAGTTTTAGATTCAAAATAATTGAATGATCCTTGCTACATCCCTGGTCATGGATTTAGACAGCCAATCTATAAAATAACTGAATCTGGACATCTTATTGTTTGATCTAGTCAGTTTCGATAGAGCTATACAAAATTTCACTGGCGTATAACTCCTTTGTAAGAAAACCGTTAAAAAAATATTCAAATTCCAATGAATTTTTGACGATTCTAATATTTTCCGTTCCCCTCGATGTTTACTGCTAACATTTTCTCAGTGCTTCAATTTACAAATATTTTAAAAACAATAACAAAAGAAATCTCAAAATAAAAATGATAAAAATTCCTTTAATTGGAAGTGATCTTCGATTCGATGAAGTTTCAATTCGTGCAATAAAAATATTTGAGTATTTTGACAATGCTGTGGATCAAATCTTTAATACAATTGATGCTAGAATTGAGAAAAATATGACAAGAATCGGTGAAATTAATACTCGATTAGAAAAGGCATCAGAAAAAATTGAAAAATTAAAGACAAGTAGGAAGGCAATTCAGATGTTTTCACCAGCTCGGTATCCAGTTGAAGAACCAAAAAAGTTTAAACCAACTTTTGATTTAACTTTTCAACCTGGAGAAATAGATTTGCACTATAAATTAGATTTGCCTTTGGAGAGAACAGACTACAAGCAGTATGGAGATAAGTTACAATTTTTCCATCTTAAATCACCAAAAAGAGAAGTTCCGAAGCAACCGGATTTGATTTTTAACATCACATCCATCAATTCTCTCATTACTTTTGTCAATAATGAAAATCTATATTTGAAAGACTCGATGAAATCTAAAGAAAATCAGTTGCAACCTGTTGAGCAAAAAATCGATGATTACACAACAGATTTCAGCCGATTCTCAACAATGATTAGAACAAAGCAGCATGGAGACAATTTTCATTACCTTCCATCATTTAATCAAGCACCAGAATTTGAGTTTCCATTAGATCTTCCAGATCTTGAAGGAATTGCTGGAGATATTTCATTTTCAGTGCCTGATGAGGAACTTATTGAGCCTACATTCCGTACTATGAATATTGTCAATGATTTACCAAATGTTGCAGAACTAATGGAAACAAAAAAGACAGAACAACCAGCAATTATTCAACCTCCATCAATTCCAGCAGATATTCCACTTCCTGTACCACCACCGCCCCCTCCAATTCCTCAAATGTTAATCCCACCTCCACCTCCTCCTATGCCAATAAATATATCAACATCGACTCCTGCAGCTCCACCAATTCCACAAGCTGACGATGCTCGATCATCATTAATGAAAGCAATTCGTGATGCAGCAGGTAAAGCAAAAACTAAAATGAAGTCAGTTCCTGCAGCTGATGAACAGCCATCAGAAAATGATAAGAAACCAAAGCAACAACCACCAGCACTTGATCTCATGAGTGATTTACATCAAAAATTGATGCTGCGACGAAAAGGAATTGCTGGATCAAAAGAGGCAAAAAAGGAAAAGTCATCGATGATGGCTAAAGTAAGTTCCTTGATTCCGCCTCCACCAAAGAAGCCACCAAGTAGTGATGACAGTAATTCAAGTGATAGTGATAGAAATGATGATGATGACTGGAATTGATTGGATGTGATGCAATTTAATCTAGCTTGAAGAATTGTTAATGATTATGGATGTATTGAGATTTAATAAAATTTATGACGTTATTGATATTTTTACTACTCGCAAAGATATTGTTGATTTACTGGACAGGCGCCTAGCCATGAGGGTCTTGTCCCCCTTTTAAGCGTTTTAGGCTGTGCTCTCGTTGTGGTTCAAAACGTTTAGGGGGGCACAAGATCCTCATGGCAACGCGCTTGTTACTGTATAACTGCTATATGTGTATACTAATGTAAAACAAGTCGGGCTTGATGGGAATCGAACCTACAACCTCAAAAGAGGCGATCTTTGACCACTCGATAAGAGTTCCCTGCCACTCGACCACCTAGGTACTTATCTTACTTCGGCTTTTTGTCATACACATCTAACTAGTTCTACGCGAGCACTTTCCTCAGGTCTATCCACCTACAGATACGCTCTTCGAACCATATCCACACTGGGTCTAAGCTATTGTGTGGGAAAATGAATTGAAAAAATAAATCAGAGATTAACCAAAGATAACCGGATAATTCTTATCTGTCTAGCCTGATTTTATCTCCTATGCACTTGTTGTAATGAAATCTTCAGTTAATTTAATAAAGTTAAAGAAGCAAGACAATTTATGGAATCAAAGCTATGTATCTGCTTAGTCATTTATACTTATTGATTACAATTTTTGCATTTCTTGCATTATTTTCGTCAATTTGTAAGTTATGATTGTCATTAGCAGTTTAAATTTCTGAAATAAATTTTTAAACTCCAGCTTCAAATCCAAACAATGTCGAATGGAGCTACGACGATCCTCGATGGAAAACATACATCCCAAACTGGTGGGATGAACCAAATTTTGTACCACCAGTTGGACCAGTTGAAGAGAATCCAAAAGAATTCTGGATATCAAAAGCTGAGAAACTATTGGATCAAAAATTAAATTACAGACTTAACACAAATCGTGCAAAGAATATTATTATTATGGTCGGTGATGGAATGGGTCTGTCATCTCAAATGGCAGCACGATCATATATTAAAGATGTAAATTTTGAGCTCTCATTTGAGAAATTTCCATTTTCTGGTTTGGCAAAAATTTATTGTGTAAATTATCAAGTTCCTGACTCAGCAAGTACAGCAACAGCTTTATTTTCAGGAATTAAAACAAATTATATGGTTCTTGGAGTGACTGCTGATGTTAATGTAAGGAACTGTAGTGCAAGTAAAAATGAAAAGTTTCAAGTTCCATCAATATATAAATACGCACAAGATGCTGGAAAGTCTACGGGAATTGTTACAAATACGAGAATTACACATGCAACTCCGGCAGGTGCTTATGCTACAGTAGCATCAAGAAATTGGGAAGGGAATGCAAATACACCAGATGGATGTGATGACATTGGATTACAGTTGATTCATGGAAACATCGGAAGAAATTTGGATATAATTCTTGGTGGTGGATCAAGGTATTTGCTACCAACGTCTAGAGGTGGACGAAGAACAGATGAAAGACATTTAATCAATGAGTATTTAAGAGTTCAAATACAAAATCGAAAGCGACCAGCACGAGCTTTTAACAGAGATGAATTGTTGTCAATTAATGCGAATGTGACAGATTCAATTTTAGGGATTTTTGCTGACAATCACATGGACTACAAATTACTTGCAGATCCAGAAACACAACCAACTTTAACAGAAATGACAGCAAAAGCACTCGATATTTTAAAGAAGAATGAACGACATGGATTTGTGTTGATGGTTGAAGGTGGAAGAATTGATCATGGACATCATGAGAATCGAGCACAATTGTCGCTAGAAGAAGTTGTTGAATTTCACAAAGCAGTTGAATATGTCAAAGCAAATACACATGAAGAAGATACACTAATTGTAGTGACTGCTGATCATAGTCATCCTTTTACTATTGGTGGATATTTGGTAAGATTTAACTACATCCATAAAACTTAGTTCCCTCGAGTTAACTTCAAAAATATTCCCGAATGTCACAAGTCGGTTAATCGATTGGATTTACATCGAAGCTAGCACCATACCAGAGTCGTCTAAGCTTGTCGCCGGATTTCTTTTAACTTAACCGACTTGTGCTATTCAGGATTAATATTAAACCATTCTATTAATTCCAGCCTAGAGGAAGAAACATCATCGGACCAGGAGATTTCTCAAGAGAGGACAATATGTGGATATTTTCAGCAAGCTATGCTCAAGGTCAGGGATATTTTCAACATTTTGATCCAAAAACCGGAGGACGAAGAAATCCACGCGGTTCAAATTATATGAATCCATCGTTTAGACAACCAGTTTCAGTTCCAATGGATGAAGGTACTCATTCTGGAGAAGATGTTGGAGTATATTCAAGTGGACCATGGTCTCATGTAAGCTTGAATTTAATTGATTTTACAATTTTAAATTAAAATATTTTGCAAAAAAATTTCAGTTATTCACAGGAGTTTATGAACAAAATTTCATTCCACATGCTATGATGTTTGCTGCTTGCATTACCCCAACCAATGGAAAAAGAAATGCAAATTGCTAGTATTTTTTAAATTAAAGGTTTTTGTCTAATCTAAATTGGATTTAATTTAAAATTATCTAAATCGAATTAAGCTTTAGAAAAAAAATTTATAAAAATTGAAAATTATATTTTATAATAACGGACTTTTTTAAAATCCATAACAATAATCACATTATTAACGGCTTTTTGAAATTCAAACTTACATTAGCATCAGCGTTTTTTTTTCAATAAACAAACAATTTGAATTTTTTTCAACCGTTGAACTTCAAAATAAAAAATTCTAATTTTAAATTGTATTAAAACAGTATTTTAGATATAATTAAATGATTATATTTCAATAATGTAAATAGTTTTTAAAATTAAAAAATAAATATATTTAAAAAAAAGAAATTACTTTTTAAGTTTTTCTTCTTTGAATTTCCAGTGTAATTTTCAAATATGAATTTATCAGTTTATTTGTTAAATTATATTATATTTTGCACATTTTATAATCCAATCTTATTTTAAACTTTAATTAATTAACTTTTAACGACACATTTTTAAAAATCTCAAAGTTTTCAACACAAAAAATTTCAATTTAAAGTTTACAAATTCCAACTGTCATTACAAATTTAAATCTCAATTACAAAACTCTTTTCGCATCTTTAACGGTCATTTTTGCATCTTTCTGGTAGTCATTTTGAGATTCTCGTCATCTAACAATAAAAAGATATAAAATTTGAAAAAAATTTAAAATTTAAATCATTTAATTAACGAGTTTCAAAAGTTAAACATGTCAAAGAACAATAACACAATCTGCCGTTGCTGCTTAAAGGTTTTGCTAGGAACTGAAAGTCGAATTCAAACGACAAACAAGACACGAGAAATTTTTTCAAATTTTATTGGATCTTCTTTGCTGCCTGGCATCATCTGTGGAAAATGCAACATCAACTTACTGACATTCGATGCATTCCAAAAGGAAATCAAAAGAAAGCATGAAGAATTGACAACTGTGAAAATTAAGGAGGAGCCAGGTCAAATGATGGTCGATAATGAAAACGAAGAACTGATTGAAGGAATTTTATTTGAAGAAGATGAAGCGGATGAGGATCAAAATGTCGTGTCTGTAGCTGATCTAGTACAGACATCATTGGAATCGCCAGAACATTATCAATCCCCAGAACATCATACTGGAAGTTCTGATGATGATGATGAAAATGATGTCATTTGCATTCCACAAGTACCCCAAGTACCAATAGACTGTGATGCGATTTCTGATGAACCAAAAGAAGCTAAACCAGATGAACCGAAAGAAATCATTTTTAAATGTGACCATTGCACTGCTGTAAGTGCCAAAAAAGAAGTCATTATTCAGCATATCAAACAGTCGCATTCATTCAAATGTGTAGCATGTGGTAAAGTTTATCCAAAGAAGGAACGACTTGATTCACATATTATGAGAGTTCATAATGCAGCTGGTGGTAGTAAAAGGAAGCAGTCATTAAAACCTATGGTGACAGAAGATCAACTGAGATTTAGATTAAAATCAAAGCCTTATGGACGACCATGGCCAAGTACATTAGCTAAGAGGAAGGAAGAGTATGGATATTAAGGAGGATTGCATTCTAATTAAGCAGATGACACTGCATTAAATTCTACATTTTCTAATATTTAGGCTCATTGTAAATATACTTGACAAACCCTTCTGTGGACATATTTTAAGAATCAAATAAAAATTAATTAAATTTTAAAATTTTCTTTTTTTAAGCTTTTCTTTGCGTTCATTTCGTTTTCAAGATCCTAGCGTTCCTTAACTTGGTTTGGGGAAAATAGAGACAGCTCTTCCGTTTTTATTTAATAATTTCATTTCTAAATCCACCACATAATTCAAACATAACCTGCTTTAAGACGGGAATTTTTGGATCAAAACCAGGACAAGTCAAGTTTTAGAAGCTCTTTTGATGGAATGACAGCGTTCTAATTATGAAGCTCGGTTCGTGTGTGGAGTGTAGGTTTGAGGTCTTCGGCACACAATGTGTCTCCTTTGCTAGGTATACTAGCATCTTGATGATTTCATTACAGCATCTTGCGCACACGAATCGTGACGAGATACATCAGGTTTATAGATGTTCTCGTGTCTTTGCAATGTGCAGAGCTTGAAAGTGGTTCAGAAACCACTTTAAACTGATCCAAAGGGTGTAGTTCAATAGATTATGTTCTAATTTGAATCTCAGTGCCTTCTGCTCAAAGAGCTGTACAGTATCGTATCCGGCTGAAACTCAGGTGACGTTAAAGTATGAATTAAACAAAGCTATGAGATGTGAATGGATGAATAAAACAAGGGTGTGGTACTGATAAAATGATCAAAATGTAATTCTTTAGTTCCACACCCTTGGAATAAAGCTTATTTTCCTCATATAGATCAGTGCAAATGAACTGAAAACCAACATCCAGCAGCAATTAAGTCATGTGTGGATTTTAATAGCTTGATTCGGTTGGATATAAATCATGAATGGAACCAAAAAATAGTATCTTTTTGGATATAAAACAACATATTAGCTAGAAAACAAAGGCAAATAGCCAGCCAAAATGTACATTTAAGCGCGTTGTTTTCTAAGGCGGATGGTTTTCTAAGGCACTTAAAAATAAATAAATATCAATGGTAATAATTTGAACTTATATTTTTATTTAACATATAAATTTTAATCTTTTTCTATCGTATTGTGTAAAAGAACAATCGATGGATGAATATTAGCATCTTTGAGTGTAAGATCGTGATCTAAAGCAGTCAAACATTTATTATGAATTTTCGAAAAAAGTGAAAATCTCTTTGTCTTATTATCATAAATGCCCGTTTTAACTAAATAGTTTCGATAAATATAGTTTATTAAATTTCCTACAGATCGTGATGCTGGATATTTAAACTTGTGACTTTCAAGTTCAAATCTTAATAAAACATTTGTTTGCGGTTCATCATTTTGTGCTAAAACTTCATCATCACTATCTAATACTTTCACTTCTTGATCATCATCATTGCTTAAGTCATGATCAGAAATATCATTAGAATTTAATGACGCAAAAGAATCTTCATCTGATTCAATTGATTTGGTGACTGTCGTTTTTTGTGATGGCTTTTGATCAGCATTTGAGAATTGCTGTGATGTACTTGGTCTTATATTATTCGTTGATGACGATTCGTCGTCTGAATCTTCGACACTTGAATTGTAAACTAGTTGATTGTCTTTTGTACATGAATATTTTTTAAGTTCACGAACAACGCTACGTAATGTTAATTTTGTGCAGTCATGAAAATTTTTTCTCAGTTCTCCTGTTATACTGTCAATAATTAAAAATATTGGGATAGTTTGACATTCCAGTAAATTATAAATTTGTAAGATTTTGAGCGCTTCGAGATCATTGCAATTTTTTCTTAAAAATATGAAATTTTTTTTCAATATTTTTTTGACTTTTTCTGATTCAACTTCATTATTAAAAATGTCTCTATTAAATGACAGACTTTCATAGCTTTCATTATTTATTAACACAGCTATCCATTTTCCTAATTGCTGTCCTCTTATTTTGGCATTAGCAAAATCAAAATTGTAAGCAATGTCCACGGGATGTTTATAAATCATCTCTAAACATTTTCGTTTTGGCATTTCACCTCGAGCTAATTCTTCTTGAATTTCCATTTCTCTTTTTAAATCACGGAACGAGCTACTAAATTGTTGTCTTACTGCTGATAATTGAATATCTCTCGAAGTCTCAGATTGTATTAAAATGTCATATCCTCGTGGTATTACTGGCCTTATTTCTTCTACATCTTCTTCTACCACAACAGCATTTTCACGAACTGGTTGTTGTGAATCTGTTGATCCTTGATTTCTGTCATAATAGCTTTGTACTGCCAATTCTAAATTATATCCAACGTCTTCCAAAAAGCGCTTTGCTTCGTCAAACGGCACTAAAATTTTAATTTATCAAATTTTATGATTTTGTTCTATTTAATTGAAAACTTACAGTTTGAGATCTCCATGAAGTTTAATATAATACATTCATTATCCATTTTTAAATCCAATAATTAACTATTTTCCTGACAAATTTGAATTGTTTTCAGCAAATATCTTTTTTTGATTGTTCAGAGTCAATGATGATTTATTAGACCTTGATGGAACTGATGGTTACTAATCAAATACTGATCGTTGTGTCAAAAATAAACTAAAGGAACTCAATCAAACATGAATATTTTCTTTAATATTCTCAATCAGTATGTAAATTTAGAAACTTCTTAGAATGAAAACAAACAATAACAATTGAAAACAAAGTTAGCAAATTTAAAAATGAGCAACTTAAAATATTGTTTTGCTTTAGAATTCAAATTTAAATTTTCAAAAAACCGTTGAACTTTAAGTTTATTTTTTATTACAAAGTTGTTGATTAAAGTTTTTGCAATTGCTTTCTTGTTTATGGTTCAGACCATCCACTTGTCTATGGCATCGAGCATCCTAATGCTGATTTGTAGCTTGTAGCTCCGGGAGTCAAATAAAAGAAATAAATGTTTGAAAATGATAAAAGAAATTGTCTTTTGATTTATTATATCTAGTTACAGATATTAATATAAAAAAAAATAGTTTTTAACAGCAACAACATGAAGAATTTTTCTGATTTACTCTCGATTCAGCGTATTGTTGACTCCCATTACTTGCAATTGGTTGAAAAACTGCTATTTTGTCGTCAACTTTTTGCTCTTCTGGGTATAAAATTTTTACTGAATGCTCGACTATATGCTTTACATTGACATTATCTTTCGCTGATACTTCAAAATATTTTGACGCTTCAATTTCTTTGGATAGATTCTCACAATCTTCTGATGTGATGAAGAAAACGTCTGGAAATTCCTCTCGCAGGTCAACTTTTGTTGCTGAAATTTGTTATAGTACAGTTATAGTGGACTCGGAGTTGATTTGGAAAAAATTGACTCTACTCGAGTTGGCTCAGGTCGACTTGAAAAAAATAAAGTCGACTCAAGTCAGCTCGCCTCGAATTCAAGCTCTGATTTTTACTGAAGAAACAATGGGCTTATAGCTTCAATTTGGCTGGCTGCCTGCCTGGCTTGCTGGGAGATTAAGAGGAGAGGGATTGTAAGGTCGCTGGTGGAACACGTCCCTTACTTACTTACTTACTTCGCTGGTCGTACAGATCAATTGTGTTCCATGACCTCCCTTAGCCTTTCCCTAAAACTAGTTCTATCACTGGCTACCGTCTGCCAATTGCCAACACCTCCCTTAGATTTTTTTTCTTGTTTTTGATTCAGAACATGCATATGACTTCAATATGATTTTACTGATCTACGCAATGAGTATACGCTTAGCTCATCAGTTAAGAGGAAGCATCTGCAACAGTTACTATTTGTTTAATATTTTAATAGACTTACCAACAAGGACAAATGGTATTGGCCAATTTGGAAGCTTCTTTAGCTCATCAATCCACTTAGTTTTGATATTTCTATAAGACATTCTATTTTCAATGCTGTAGCACAAAATAATTAAGTCTATAGTCGAATAATCAATGTTTGAGTTCCTCATTGTGTCAATTAGTTTGATCTTGTGAGACTTGTTGCTGATTTTGATTTCGCAAACGTCAGATTCAAGTCTGCAAATTTTTTAGAACATTAATGATAGTTTAAAGAAGTTCCAAGCTACATTTGGATCATAAAATGAATTCATATGCTACTTGGGATGTTTTGCTTGCTATTAATCTTACAATGCTGGTATATGAACATCTGAAAATACATCTCCAAAATAACTTCTGATAAACGAAGACTTTCCAACAAATGGATCACCGATAATTGCGATTTGAAGCACTTTATCTGACATTTTTAAGATAACAATTGATTTGTCTTAACTTTTCTAATTTTAAATTTTTCTACTTTTTAATTTTTATGTTTTTTAATTTAAACCAAGAACTATTAAGCTATAAGCACAAAAACGATTAAAACAAATATAGCTGAAAAATTGAACTATTCTAAATAAGTACTGAAACAATAATTGGAAAGGTTGCACGAATATGAGATATATTGTTGTGTGGCTGAATTTAATTACTACCGAATTGTTAAGAAAATTAAGATAAGATATCAAACAGGGCTTTAGAAATGAGAATTTCATTTTCGACATTATTTATTGTATATTGTGGAATATTCTGCGATACTCAAAGCTTTTAGTTAAGATATAATCAATTCATGAACTATTGTTAATTTAATTGTTTTTTTGGCTATTTGAATATATTTAGAATTATTCAAATCCGTGTAGCAGTCTAGGAACTCTCCGAACGTTAAATTAATGAATTTCAACTATGAATAAGTGAAAAATCTAACGACGAAACACTGATCACGTGGACGAATTACTTTTAATCACTTTTTATCACTTATTCTTAAATATATACTTAAACTCGACTTTTATCGAGTTCTAATGAACTATATGTATTAAATAATAACTAGATCTTAAGTTTTTAATGTTTTTAAATGATATATTTTATTTATTTATTAGAAAAATGAATCTTTTTATTTTTGATATGACAATATAAGTCCCGTTCCTTCACTCTATCCGTCTGTCCTTTACTTCACCAATACATACGCTATATCCGTTTTTAATTAATAGCGTAAATGGCCAATTAATATCAATTAATATAGTTTTCTTCCTCAAATGTATTACAATCAGCATCACTTCTGTCGTAAAATAATAATGGATTAACGGAACAAAAAATATCTTTATTGATAAATTACTTTTAGATTATTTACTGACGTTTATGGGTGTATAAAAGGTGTTCAGAGGATGGTCTAAATATCAAAACACTCATTACTGATATTGTGTTTTGCTGTGCATTCATTGTATGTATTAATCTGTATAAACCAGTCAGGGATGCAAATAGAATAAACAGCTTATCAATTTGTTTGAATCAGAGGGCGAAGACTGTTTTTTTCGAAAAGTACTACTTACTTACTATAACCATGTTTCTAAGTGGAGCTTAGGTTACAATAAAATTCTTTCCATCTGACTCTGTTGCTGGCTCTGACAACCTAGTTTGTACAACTTCTCTGTCCGCACATTAAGTTGATATTCTTTCATCACTTTTTTACGGCAAATAGCTTTTGGAGCTTCTGGACATCTTTTCTATTGTGGATTCGAACCAAGGGCGGTGAAACAAACTTGTGTTTCTGCCACAGCACTGGCATTTTCTCTAGCATTTTGTTTTCGAAGTTTATGGTTTGATCCAGCCGCACTTCCTTATCTATATCTCATTGTTGATGTCTTGTTGACCTGCTTTCTCTAGAAGTTTATCATTCGATGGCCAATTATCAGAATTCTTAGTCTACCAGATTCTGAAAACTCACCTGTAGCATCTGAAATTTCGAAAGCCGGTTTTGACTTCTGCGGGGTGGTTTTTTTTACTTACCAAAGACTCATTAAAAAGATTTCATTTTTTTATTATAGCAACTAATTAGCTCTTTGATTATACACTTTTGGATTTTCATCAAAATAATTGAATGAAGTATCCAAAAAAACCTGTGACATATTAAATTTTATTGATCATTTTATTGTAGGAATTTCTGTTTTGATAAGCTAAAATTATCTATCGCAGAAGGAAGTATTTAATTGGTGGTCTGCTTTTAATCAGTCTTAAACGGTATGTTGGTTCCGAATAAGACAAACAGTTGTGAGAAAAAATAAAGAAAAATGTATAAGGAATTATTTATTTTGTGTATAGCTTTTACAATTGGATTTTCAAATCCTTTATTTAGTAGAAGTGAAGTGAGAGAATTAGAACCAATTGATGAATTTGATAGTAAAGATACAACAATACAATATGGTTTAGAGGAATCTACAAACCTAGAAACAACAATAACATTTCAGGAAGCTGATACCAGAGTTCCATCTACAGTAAGGATGACAACTCGTAGTCTTACTACAACCAAATCTAGTACCACTCGTGCTCCTACTACAACCAAATCTAGTACCACTCGTGCTCCTACAACAACCAGATCTAGTTCCACTCGTGCTCCTACAATAGCCAGATCTAGTACCACTCGTGCTCTTACTACAACCAGATCTAGTTCCACTCGTGCTCCTACTACAACCAAATCTAGTTCCACTCGTGCTCCTACAACAACCAGATCTAGTTCCACTCGTGCTCCTACCACAACAAAATCTAGTACTACTCGAGCACCCACAACAACCAGATCTAGTTCCACTCGTGCTCCTACAATAGCCAGATCTAGTACCACTCGTGCTCTTACTACAACCAGATCTAGTACGACTCGTGATCCTACAACAACCAGAACTAGTACCACTCGTGCTCTTACTACAACCAAATCTAGTACCACTCGTGCTCCTACTACAACCAAATCTAATACCACTCGTGCTCCTACAACAACCAGATCTAGTTCCACTCGTGCTCCTACCACAACAAAATCTAGTACTACTCGAGCACCCACAACAACCAGATCTAGTTCCACTCGAGCACCTACCACAACCAGATCTAGTACCACTCGTGCTCCTACAACAACAAAATCTAGTTCCACTCGTGCTCCTACAACAACCCGTTTAAGCACAACTGAAGTTCCTACAACACAAACTAAGATATCAACGACACCACGACGAACCACAACAGATGATGATAGTGATGAAATCTCGTCCACATCCAGAGCTTCGACTACGAGACGAACTACAACAGATGATGATAGTGATGAAATCTCGTCCACATCCAGAGCTTCGACTACAAGACGAACCACAACAGATGATGATAGTGATGAAATCTCGTCCACATCCAGAGCTTCAACTACAAGACGAACCACAACAGATGATGATAGTGATGAAATCTCGTCCACATTCAAAGCTTCGACAACAAGACGAACCACAACAGATGATGATAGTGATGAAATCTCGTCCACATCCAGAGCTTCGACTACGAGACGAACTACAACAGATGGTGATAGTGATGAAATCTCGTCCACATCCAGAGCTTCAACTACAAGACGAACCACAACAGATGATGATAGTGATGAAATCTCGTCCACATTCAAAGCTTCGACAACAAGACGAACCACAACAGATGATGATAGTGATGAAATCTCGTCCACATCCAAAGCTTTGACTACGAGACGAACTACAACAGATGATGATAGTGATGAAATCTCGTCCACATCCAGAGCTTCGACTACAAGACGAACCACAACAGATGATGATAGTGATGAAATCTCGTCCACATCCAGAGCTTCAACTACAAGACGAACCACAACAAGAGCACCTTCAACAACAAAGGCGACTACAACTAAAAAATCAACCACTACACAGCAGCTAGTTGATAATGAAACAACTACAATAACGAAGACTAAAAGCACAACAATGCCAATGACAGAAGAGTGGACAACAGCACCAATGACAACAACAGCAGGTGGAGAAATAATTATATCATTTAGATGTCCTACTGATGGATTTGGAAATGTTCCAAGTTCAACATACTGTAATCGGTACTACGAATGTGTCTACGGAATTCAGCAGATCAGATTCTGTCCAGATGATATGATGTTTGATGCAATTAGTCTGCAGTGTACTGAACCGCATAGAGCATTGTGTGGAAATATGATTAAATGCGGACAAATTTAAATTCTTATTTTAATTTTCATGATTAATAAAATATTAAAAAATTATGTTGGCAGATTTTTTGGAAGTGCTTAAAAATTGAAAAATAACATGTCTGCGATCAGCCTTATTTCACGACAAATAAAACACCAATAAATTAATAAATGACAAATTTAATAGTTTGATAAGCATTGATTTGACAAATTAAACAACAAATTTCAATAGAAATAAGTCGCAATACCGAAATAAAACAATTGTTTGGAGAACAAATAAAAGAATTTTTGATAAGATTAAGAATTCGTAGTCTTGGAATTTCTTTATTATTTCCTTCAGTTTTTGATCAAGTTTGATTGCAAACACATCAAAATAAATTGCAATAGTCTGATAAAAAAAAATGAAGAATTTTTGTTTGTGCTTAATAGTTTTAATTGGATTTTCTTTCAATGTTCAAGGTTTTGATTTTATGGATTTCATTAATCATTGACAAACATAGTGATGAGTAGGGTAACTTTGAGTTTAGTGGTGTAGATTTTAACAATGACTTTAAAGGAAGAAGCTTCATTGGTCAATTTTTTCATGGTCAAACGATGGCTTCTGGGTAGTTTTTCCTGTCAAACTCTTAAAAACAGGATATAGAAGACGGAAATTATTAGATCCATTTTCATATATAATATGTCCATAAACGTCCAGTTCCTATAGTTACTCCCGCTGAAAAAGAGAAGTACGCGGGAAAGATACGAAGTAGGACGAAAATATTTGAATGCGGGACGTAAATGAACGTAATATATAAATTCAGGGCAAGTTTCATCACTCCCTGACAACTTGCTCCCGCGTATTTCACAGACACAAGACGGAAGGGGTTGATTAGGGTTTGAGACATTTGCCTAATTTACTTTTGCCCATTTTATATATACCCACTGACATTTTCTCACTGGTACTTTTGCCCACTGAAGATTAAATTGAGAGAAAATTTTAAAAATTTTATTTTTAACGAATTATGTCATCCTGCATTACATATTTCATTCCCCTATAATCTTGATAACATTTTTTAAATCTTTCACAATAGGAACTAGCAAATTCCTCGAACCATTAAACCTCAATGTCTTCTGTAATGGATTCTTATTCAATGCCATTCCTCATCCAAGTGATGATAACTTATTCATTGGATGCATTGAAGAAAAAGGAACAATATTCGGATGTGATGCTGAAAACTTTGTATTTGATCCAATAACAGTTAAATGTGTTGATCCGAAATTGATTACAATAACAACTGAATCGCAAACTACACCAACTACCAATAGAATTACAACAACAAGCAACAATTCAACAACAGTACCACAATCTACGACAACAACATCAAGTGGAAGCATCTTCGTGAGATTTTCATGTCCATCGTCTGGAATTGGACTCATTCCTCATAAAACTGATTGTACAAGATATTATGAATGCATTCGAGGAATAGCTAGTCCAAGAACATGCGGTACAGCTGGATATCATTATGATGTTATAACAAAACAGTGTCAACCTGCAGATGTAGCAACTTGTGGAAATACAATCAGATGTTTTTAATGTTTGACTATAAAAAATATCTTCAATTTTTAAAATTTTAGTTTTTATGTCATTTTAAAATAAATTGTAAAGCTCGATAAATTTATATTAATAAAAAAAATGATTGACTTTTTATTGTATTGTTCCAGACAAAAAGTTGCTCCTTAGCTTAGTTGTTCCTGCTTGTCTAACCTTTTAAGTTTTTATTTTTATTCAATAATTATTAAGGCTTTGAAATTCAGAATTTATCCTGAAAAATCCCAAAAAAGTCCGAAAAAAATCTCTGAGCCAATAAACATTCATCAAATGAATCAGGAATTTAAAGGAATTTCACATTTTTGTGTTTATTGACTCAGAGATTTTTTTAAAGAATTTTTGAGATTTTTCAGTATTAATCCTGAGTTTTCACGCCTTAAATTTAAGTATGATTCAAGTTTATTATTGCATTTAAATAAACTAAGCATCAATGACTAAGCTTAAAAACTAGAATAACAATGAAATGTTTTTTACATTTTATTATTCACAAGTCAAGTTTTAAGCTTACAAATTATTTGCAACAAGTCATACCCTAGCGAGACTAACTAGCAAATTGCTAGTCTTTCTATTCTACAACTTGCAATTTACTAGTTATTATTAAAACAACTTACTGTTAATAAATTACACTTGCTATTTACTAGCAAATTACTAGCAAATTACCATGTAAAATGTTTGATCAAATCTGCTTAAGTTCGAATCTTACGAAAAATCATCAAAAAAAGAATTTTTTGCGTCATAAAAAATTTTGTTCTAAATTTGGCATTTGCCATATACTTCACAAGAGCGCGCAGAAATCACCTTTTTAAGGTCGATCTAAATTTGTATGTGCCTTCAATTAATTATTTATCTTCCTCAGGTTTGCGTGCGAGTCATGGGCGTTCATCACTATTCGACTTAATTAAATTAAGTCTTTTATTTATTTTTCATAGTGTTAGTGTACTTTAATTAACTTTAAATAAGTACACACTAATACTTTTACAATAATTTACACAAATAAGAAAAATCAAAAAAACACGTGGAAATCAACGGTTATATTCATTTAAATTTTTTACAAATTTGCTAGTAAATTACTAGTTAAATTGTAAGCAAATTGACTAGTCAATTAGCAAGTGAAAATGCGGGTCTTTGGCGATGATTTGAACTTGGATTTTGACTAGTAAATAGCAAGTAGCAAATGGAAAGTTATCCAGTAAATTACTAGGAAATTACTAGTAAATTTCTGCTAGGGATAAAGGATTACTCATTAATTACACTAATCATAAGATGACATTTTTCTACATTAAAATGTTAAAACTAAGAAATATATTCAATATTGTTAAGATTGTTATTATAGATATGCAAATAATAAAAAAATAAAAAGCAACTTTTGGTAGATTCATAAAATAAGTTGATTTAATTTCAATTATGTTTGGCTTTAAAGTTGTAAGTTCGATTTGCTTGTCAGATAGACTCTGCATTTGTCTGTTAAGAATGTTAATTCGTTCGTCTCTTATCATTTTATATTTTTTTAAATTTTCAGAAAATTTTGACAAATTTTTAATATCTTTTCTTAACCGCTTAATAAGTTGATAACTTTTAAAGATGTCAATTAAATCGCAATCTTTATATACTTTATGCAAGAAAGATTTGATTGTTTTTTTCAAAATTGCTAATTCAGAAATGCAAATATTATCTTCCAAATCAAGTTGAATTAATGATTTAAGGTCATTAAAAGTATTAACACCAATTGTTGCAATAAAATTATTATTTAACCATAATATAGTAAGCATTATGTTGTAATAGAATGTGTCGTTGTCTATACTTAAAATATCATTGCCATTAAGGTCGAGAAATTGAAGAATTTTAAATTCTTTAAAAACATTTTGACTAATGCTTTTCAAACTTCCATTATTAATTTGTAGAGCGATAAGATATTCAAATTTTTGAGCTAGATTTATAGGAATGTATTGGACAATGTTATTGTTTATTGATACAGCATTCACATCAGAACCAGTTGGTACACCATTAACTAAGTCAACTTCTGTTTTGTCATTGTAAATATTTAAGCTATCCTTTTGAACACAGGAGTAAACATTATGAAATTCTTCATAGCTTTTAAGGCAAAAGTTGCAATTTAAATTGACACAAAATGACGAATTTACAGCAATAATTAAGTAAAAAAATTGAAAAAAAGTTTTTGGTGGCTCTAAAATTAAAAAAAATGGAATTTCAAAAACACAAAAGAAACCAATTTTAACTAATTTAATACTTACGTTGAGATGAGTACATTCTAAGCAATATTATTGTAATTGGTACTTAAGGAACTCAAAAACATCGATTACGTAAGAACTAAAACTGATCTAACAGCTGAACTAATAAAATCAAACATACTTAGCGAGACAGACCCAAATAAAATTGCCACTTCGTTAACTAATACAATTGTTAGTGTAATAAAGAAAAACACCCAAACAGTAAAGTTAAGAATACGCCAAGAAAATGCAGATTGTCCATGGTATAACCTGAAGGTGCTTAAAATATTAAAAAGGAAGCGTGCAATAGCTAGAAAACTTAGAATAATTAGGAGTGAGCAATTAAGATGTAAACTTGCAGCAATATCCAAAAGACTTAAGAAAACTATACAAAATGAAAAGAGGAGTTACTATAATGATAAACTTTCTAACCAAAACCCAAGACAGATGTGGAAAAATGTTAATGAATTACTAGGAAGAAATGAAAGGAGAAAAATTGAGGTCCTCAACATCAATGACGAACTGATTTTCAATGAAAGTGTAATAGCCAACAAATTTAATGAACATTTTATCGAAAGTATAATTGACATCACAAAAAAAAACTCACCAGAAACTTGCTTATATGACACACCTTCATTACCAAACTCCATGTATTTGGATGAAGTTCACCAAGAAGAAGTCTTGAATGCTATTGCAATGTTGAAAAATAACAAAACTCCTGGTATTGATGGAATTTCCTCAGCTGATATCAAAAATATCCAAGACGAGTTGTTGCCAGTTTTATGTCATCTCATCAATTCAATGTTTAATGCAGCTACATATCCTGATATATTTAAAAGAGCAGTTGTTGTTCCAATCAATAAGTCTGGTGATACATCCAACATCAAAGACTATCGTCCAATATCCGTGTTACCTACAATAAACAAATTAATTGAAAAGATATTATACAACCGAATATACGACTTCATCGAAAAACAAAATGTACTTTACACATGCCAATTCGGATTTAGAAAGAAAAGTAGTACTGAAACAGCTGCTCTTGAAGTTGTATCTTCAATAAGAAAGATTTTAGATGGAGGAAAAATAGCATCAGCCGTCTTTATGGATATGAGTAAAGCATTTGATGTCGTGAATAGAAAAACTTTGATGAGAGTGCTTCAAAGTTATGGATTGCGAGGCAAAATATCCAAAATTCTAGAAAGCTACTTGACAAACAGAACACAGGTTGTCAAAATCAACAAATCGACGAGCTCGTCATTATTTATCGATACTGGAATTGTTCAAGGAAGCACGCTGGGAAGTCTTCTTTTCATTTTATTTATTAACGGTTTAGGCAAACTTAAAAATATAAATGGAAGTCTTTTTTTATTTGCAGACGACATTGTGCTGATTAATTCGCATGAAAAGAAAGAAAGAAGTATCGAGCAAAATATAGCAGCGGATATTAAGATTATTCTTAAATATCTTACATCGTTGGGAATGATAATGAATACGACTAAGACGAAGTATATGATCTTCCATTCTATCAATTCAACTATCAATGATACCCAGGAGATTGAAATAAGTCCCAATCAAGTCATTCAAAGAGCTTACACATACAAATATTTGGGATTGCATCTGGATCCAAATCTTAAATGGAATAATCACGCTGAACAAGTCGCAAAGAAATTGTGTTTTGCATCCGCTGTGCTATGGAAGCTTAAAAATATTATTCCGCTATTAGTAAAAAAGAGAATCTACTTTGCTCTCTTTCAATCACATCTGAATTATATGAGTCATGTGTTTGGATCTGCGTGTGATACAGTCATCAAACCCTTACAATTAATACAAAACAGAGCTTTACGCAATATCTTTGGACTTGACAGAATGGAGAATAGAATATACATGTATACTCACCTAGTTGAAAATTGTCTGCCAATTAGAGCTCTTAACTTCATTAACACTGCTACATACATATATAACAATATCCACAAGTGCATCCACACGAACATCATCATTGAACGAAGTGCTCCTACAAACAGAAGCTCGAGAAACAAAAGAGAGTTGCAGCCACTGATTGCCAAAACGAGTTATGGAAAGAAAAATGTAGCGTCTTTTGGAGTTAAAATCTTTAATAGCATACCGAACGACATACGATCCCTAAAAACGATATCATCATTCAAATGGGCACTCAAATGTCATATCAGAAATGAAGCATTTATGTCTAGATGCTTCAACAGCAATTACTTCAAAGAAATAGGCATCTCCACCTGAAACGAAACATAAATTTTAAATTTAAACAATCTTCATACAAACACTTCAATTTGTTCCAGCTGCTATCGACTTTCACACTTGTCACTTCCTTGAATCTCTAGTCCTTTAGGATAATTCACACAAAGTCATTTATTTCACTGTTAATTGCACACTTTTTTTTTCTGTTAAACCACCGTTAAATTTTTTTTGAACTTAAAAGTTTCTTCAACGACATTTGTCACTGAAACTCATATATATTTAGATTTAAACATTATTATATGTATTTGTATTCCTTTCAAGGTTTTTTACGCCCCCTATAACAGTTTAAGTACTGTTTTAGGGGGCTTTTTCCTTGTAAAAAGAAGGAGAAGTAGTGAATAAAACTCAATAATAATAATAATAATAATAATATTATTTTCTACGTTCCTATTATTATTCAATGTTACTTCCACTAAGTTATGATTTCAAATGCTTTGTTTATTTTATTTCAATATCAATTTCATGTACAAAACAATTTTTCTAGTCACATATTTTGATGCTTTTATACAATAAAAAGGATGACAAATGCCATTTAAATACTCAGATAATGATCGTTCATAAATTTTGTAAAACTTAGTAATGAGGACGTCTGACATTGATTAAGCTTCAATATAATTTTTTGATTTTTGATAATCCAATTTCAAAAGGTGAAGTCAAAATTGATCATTTTTAATATTACAGAATATGCAAATGAAAAAATAAAAATATAAAAAATGAAAACGGTTTTTTAAACTTGAGAACGAATAATTTAAAAAAATCATTCAACATTTTGAAACATTTTTGAGAAAGTTTTCATAAACTACTTTCCTTGACAACCATACAATATATCCTAAAATATGTTTAAAACTAGCTTATCTTTTTTTAAACTATTTAATTTATTGCTAGAAATCAACCAACAACATAATCAAAAAATTCATTTTATTTTTTCAGCATTACTATTTTAATTTAAATATTGAACTTTCATCTTTAATATCCACCAAAAGCAGCTCCATATCCGTAATGGTTATCATGATGAGCATGTCCAATACGTTCAACATGAGCATGAAATCCAGTCTTTCCATCAGCATGATATTTAACAACTCGTTTAGTTCCATCAGCTTCATCCAATGTATATTCACCCTTTACAACATCACCATCTCTAGTTTCCCATTGACTCTTATGATCATGTGTGTGTGGATCATTAACTCCATATTCAAATTTGTATGATGGATATGCATAATAATCTCCTTTGTATTCACCATTCCAAACACCAGCATCAACACCACCTTCAATTTTTCCCCATGCTGATCCACTTCCATATCCAATATCTGATCCATATCCATCAGATCTCTTGACATAACTGATTGAACTAGCTGAGACAGCAGCTATCAGAAGTGCAAATGCGAGAATTGTCTTCATTTTTTAAGTTTTAAGTTAATTGTTGATTGACTGAATTGAAACTGATGTGGAATGGCAATTGGACTTGTTTTTTTATAGTTTCGAACTTTCGTAATTTAATTTTATTTCAATGAATTAAATTATTTTGGATTATTTGAGTTCATAGCTTTTGTAACACGCATTATATTTATTTTATTAGCACCCATTTGAAATTCTTAGCTTTGATTTAGAAAGCAATTTGTGAAACTTTTCAGTTCAATAGCAAAATGTGAAATTTCAATTCAATATTTTTGAGTATAAAAGCTTCAAGTTCTTACAGTTCTTCATTCAAACAGATTCAATAGTTTCAAAGTGCATTAACCAAAAATAATCAAAGTCATGAATTCAATTAAGTTGACAGTTGCAATTGCATTCATCGCAGTTGTCTCAGCTGGTTCAATCAGTTATGTCAAGAGATCTGATGGATATGGATCAGATATTGGATATGGAAGTGGATCAGCATGGGGAAAAATTGAAGGTGGTGTTGATGCTGGTGTTTGGAATGGTGAATACAAAGGAGATTATTATGCATATCCATCATACAAATTTGAATATGGAGTTAATGATCCACACACACATGATCATAAGAGTCAATGGGAAACTAGAGATGGTGATGTTGTAAAGGGTGAATATACATTGGATGAAGCTGATGGAACTAAACGAGTTGTTAAATATCATGCTGATGGAAAGACTGGATTCCATGCTCATGTTGAACGTATTGGACATGCTCATCATGATAACCATTACGGATATTATTACTAAGCTTAGTTGATGCTTTACTGAGCCTTGAAAGTATGTGTCTCTAAATTTGTAATAACTGCAAAAATTCGATCATTTTCCAATAAAAATTTAAAATTAAATTCAGTTTGTTAATTTTTATTTAAAACTTATTTTTAAAAAAGAAATTCAGGAATTTAAAAATGTGGATAAAAAACGTTGGTCATAAAGTTTCTGTACATGTTTTCAACTCGATAAGCACCTTCGTTATCATCATGATTAGCAAGTTCTTCTACTTTCTCTTGCCATGTACCAGTTGCTTTATAATTTACTGATTTGCTAAACATTGTTTGGAACTCTGCATTTTTGAAGTTATTACGGAAATGCTCTATAATATTTTCATCTTCTTCGCATGAAATTGCGAGTAACTTGAAAGTTTTAGATTCAAATCCAATAAAATTATTCAAAAACTTTTTCGTCATGTTTTCCGAATTTTTAACTCTGAATGACTCAAAATTCTTCAATAAATCAATAAACCTTTTCATTTCGAGTCCCTTCATATTTTTAATCTGATGAATAATGCACGGCCAAGTGTTAATTTGAAAATTCTTCAATTTTGGAAGCTTTGGAAGGAAGTTTAGCAACTCATTCATATTTCCTGGACAACAATTCAAAGTTTCTAATGCGAAATTTTCTAAATTGTTAAGTTCAAAGCAGTTCCAGAAAGAAAATTGCTTAATGGTTTCAATTTCAAATGATTTAAGTTTTGGTAAGCTCAAGGTACATTCAAATGGACTTAAAGTGCTTACAGTTCCTTGAAATTTGAACTTTTCTAAATTTATACATTTTGACAGAATTTTCAGGACATCGTTGGCTTCATTCAACTCTGGAGATCCTGGAAAATTATAAAGATCAGCAACCAATCTCATTTCTAAGTTCTTAACCTTTAAATTTTTCAATTTAGATTCATTTTCATTTTTCGAAGTATTCAGTAATGATCCTTGAATCTTTATTGATTCCAAGTTCCTCATGTTGTCTGAAATGAAATGGACTGTCGAGACTGAAATTTGTTTTTCCATAATTGTTAAATTTTTCAAAGATTTTGCTTGTTGTAGTAAAAATCCATGCAAGATATCTGTTCTGATTGATGAGAATCTAGTTATGACCAAGTTTTCTAACTCAAATGGAAGTTCCGTCAAATCTCCAAGCATCCAAAAAAGTTGAAATGTTGTCAGTGACTTTAAGTGAGGCAAATAATTTGATTGCTCGAAAAATTCATAAAGTGCTTCTCGATCTTTGCAATTGACAATATCAAGTGACTTTAAATTTTCACATTTCAAAACTCTTAAAATTGAATCTACCGAATTTAATTTTAAATATTCTAAATTTGCTAAGTCAACAAAACCTGCGTATTCTTCATCTGGAAAGCTTGTTGAGATGATTAAATTAGTTAAAGTTGATGCAGAAAACATTAGCATTGATAACATTAATCCTCCAGAAAAGCTATTAATACAAAGCTTTTCAATTTTCTCAACTCTTTGCTTAATAACATTCATGACGCTTCTTTCCTTAGAATTGAAATGTGAGTTTGATGTCAATTTAAAATTTCTGAAAGAAAATTTTTCTAATATTTCAGATAAAATTTTTATCATTTCATCACTACTGGTGGCGTCATCTTTCCATGCAGAAATGTCAATTGCTAGTGTCGCTCGTCTTATTAGAGGAGTTGATGATGAAATAATACGATTCCATCTGAAATTTAAATGATTACTTAAAATATGAACTAAAAAAGCGAGCCTCTGTAAAAAAGCTTTAAACTGATTTGACTTGCTTACCTTTTTGAAACTTTTGCTACTTTAAAAATTGAAACGTCGTCAAGAAATTCAAAAATTGTCAGCAAAATGTCATCACTTAATATTTCCATCCTATAAACTTTTTATTAAGTATTTTATTTTAAGCTTTATTTAAACTTTATTGTAGTATTGTGTTTAAATAGGACTTGATTTGAGAATGCTCAAGAAAAATTATCTCTTGTCCTTTTATTTGAAATTAATAAATAAACTAAATTCTCATAAAAGAAAACTATTTTTTTTTAATAAACTCGTCTAGGTAGTCAGAAACACATGTTGATGGAAAGACTAGATTCTATGCTCATGTTGAACGTATTGGACATGCTCATCTAACAATCACTATGGATATCATTACTGAAAGTTGTCGTGAACATCGTCACAAGTTTAAATAATCTTTGAAGTTTCGAAAAAGTTCAATAAAATCTGAAGAATTAATATAAAATAGGAAAAAATGAAAATTTCGAATTAATTATTTTATTTACAGCTAATTTTAATTTATTTACAAAAATTTATATTTTATCCTCTTATCATGAAGTTTCTGTCGATTCCTGCTTCTCTCATTTCTGCTAAAACGTTGCTTACTTCCGATTTTCTACCGACTTTAACTTTCAATGGTCTGATTGTCTTAGAATTATGATGTGGGTCAATGAATGCGTTGGCTGTTTTGTCAAAAATTGGAGTTTTTGTGAATTCTTCCATTCTTTTTAGTGAATCTTTAATGTATGTTTCATCAATGACGTCTCTTTTTGTAAGAAGTAGTCCTAATGATGATGAAAAGTCAACTTTATGCTTTTTGTTATGTGCTTTGATGTTTGAACAGGTTTTATGGCACTTAAGTTTCATTAAGTAACTTCCAGGTGGTGATGGCAGTTTATGTGATATTCTTGAATCTTCAGGTGTAGCCGGCGGAGTTGGAGGAAATAGAAAACTATTGTCAGCTTCAAGTTTGTTTTCACTTAGTTTTGACATTTGCAAGTTAAGTTTGCTGATGAAATTTTGCTTTTCGGTGACCATTTGACTTGGGCTTATTTTGCTTAATTGACTGGAATTATGATGAACAGTTGGCTCTTGAATTGGACTTTTCTCAGCTTGATTTGCTGCTGATGATTTTTTTAAACGTTCTTGATCTCGATATGATTTTAAATCAGATTCTTTTACGATTTCATACTTTGAAGCATCAATTTTGTCTAGCTTAAAAAGCTTTTTATGAACTTTATACGTTAAACTTCCTGGTTGAAAGTTTATATCATGCGATTTATTATCCTTGATCTTATTATCATCTTCATTGGCATTTGAGCTTACTGGTGCTTTTTCAAGCATGGTTCCTGTTAATTTTCCACTTTTTCTTTGAATTTTTTGAGGTTTCTCAGGTGCAATAATTTCATATTGTTTTCTCTTCGTCGAATGTTTTGTTGAATCTTGAGTTTCAGAAAGTCTAAGTTTGATCACCAATGGTTTGTAATTTTCAAAACCTAAGAGCTTTTGTGGAACTTTCTTGATTCTTTTTGTTCTGTTACTTAATTGACCAGCTTCTCTTAAAGCTTTTTCTGCTGTCAGTGGATTGACTTCGATTTTTTGTCCTTTTAATGATTCAGCCTCTTTTTCTTGGCAACTTGAATTTTTGGATAAAGATTTTTGAACTTTTTCAAGCTCTTCATAAATATTTGTGTTGTTGACATCATCTGTTGTAATTGAAATTACAGCAGGCAATGGCTTAAGTTCCATTTTTGTTTGAGATTCTTTTGGATTTGGTGATTTTGTAAATTGAGCTGAAGTCACTGATGAAATGATTAATTTTGACTCATCTGATGTGTTGTTTTGTACTAAATTATCATAGCTTAAAGAAGCCAGGTCGTTGTCACTGTCGTCTATTTCGATGACTTTTTCCTCATCGTCTTCGTCAAGGTTAATGAACGCTGGCATGTTGATTTTAGGTTGTTTCTTAACTCGAACAAGCTTGAGAACTTTTAAACAATTTTGTGAATGATCAATTTGTGTTCCCAAAATTTTCACCACTTCGTATTTTGATTTTTCGTTCGGAACCAAATTTAAAGACATTTTGATGATGTTTATTGTTTTTGACTCAATTGTTATTCTTGTGATTATGTATAGAACTTGAATGATAAACTTATCTAATGATTTGGTCCTTTTATAGTTCACAGGTACAAATTTAAATTAAATTGAGATTCACAACAGTTTTCAGATTTTTGATGATATTTAAGATTGTTTAAAGCTTAAAATCATTTATTGATAATTCTGATTAAACCAGTTATTATACATGTGATATAAGTTTAACATTTATTGACATAACAAACTACTGTAATGGACTTCTATTTTATTCAAATGCTTGAAAATCGTATTTATGTAATATGCTTCCTTTACACAGATGGATCAAAACAATCATGTAGTATTATTAATTTATCTGGTTCAATTCAATATCCACCAAAAGCAGCTCCATATCCGTAATGGTTATCATGATGAGCATGTCCAATACGTTCAACATGAGCATGAAATCCAGTCTTTCCATCAGCATGATATTTAACAACTCGTTTAGTTCCATCAGCTTCATCCAATGTATATTCACCCTTTACAACATCACCATCTCTAGTTTCCCATTGACTCTTATGATCATGTGTGTGTGGATCATTAACTCCATATTCAAATTTGTATGATGGATATGCATAATAATCTCCTTTGTATTCACCATTCCAAACACCAGCATCAACACCACCTTCAATTTTTCCCCATGCTGATCCACTTCCATATCCAATATCTGATCCATATCCATCAGATCTCTTGACATAACTGATTGAACCAGCTGAGACAACTGCGATGAATGCAATTGCAACTGTCAACTTAATTGAATTCATGACTTTGATTATTTTTGGTTAATGCACTTTGAAACTATTGAATCTGTTTGAATGAAGAACTGTAAGAACTTGAAGCTTTTATACTCAAAAATATTGAATTGAAATTTCACATTTTGCTATTGAACTGAAAAGTTTCACAAATTGCTTTCTAAATCAAAGCTAAGAATTTCAAATGGGTGCTAATAAAATAAATATAATGCGTGTTACAAAAGCTATGAACTCAAATAATCCAAAATAATTTAATTCATTGAAATAAAATTAAATTACGAAAGTTCGAAACTATAAAAAACAAGTCCAATTGCCATTCCACATCAGTTTCAATTCAGTCAATCAACAATTAACTTAAAACTTAAAAAATGAAGACAATTCTCGCATTTGCACTTCTGATAGCTGCTGTCTCAGCTGGTTCAATCAGTTATGTCAAGAGATCTGATGGATATGGATCAGATATTGGATATGGAAGTGGATCAGCATGGGGAAAAATTGAAGGTGGTGTTGATGCTGGTGTTTGGAATGGTGAATACAAAGGAGATTATTATGCATATCCATCATACAAATTTGAATATGGAGTTAATGATCCACACACACATGATCATAAGAGTCAATGGGAAACTAGAGATGGTGATGTTGTAAAGGGTGAATATACATTGGATGAAGCTGATGGAACTAAACGAGTGGTTAAATATCATGCTGATGGAAAGACTGGATTCCATGCTCATGTTGAACGTATTGGACATACTCATCATGACAAGCACTACGGATATGGAGTTGCTTTTGGTGCATATTAATTTGATCGTTAATTGTTATGTAAATTAATAAATGTTGAAAGATTTTTTAAATTTTGAACGCTTCGAAAAATATATTTAAAAATTTTACTAATCTTACAGAGTAGTCAGGTAAAGTTGAATGTGGAGCCTGTCCATGTTCACAAATGGATAGGATCAACTGCTAATTTGTAGACGAGAAGGTAAATAAACAAGACAAAAATGTGTAAATTAATCCATAGACATCAGCACTTAAATAAAGTAGAAAAGTAGAAAAGTTGCAAATTAAGTGAAAAGAAACATGTGCATGAGTAAATCATTCAAAGAGAATAGCAATTAATGTTAAAACTGAGAAAATGAAAATTTACACAAACGATTTTAATTAAAATATCTCGGGATTAATTTAAAGCGACAGAATTTTATGTAAACAGATGCGTAAGTGAATGTAAAACTTTAAATTTTGCTATAATAAGTCTTTGAAAATAATAAATAAACACTTTTGTGCATCATTAAGTTATTTGTTTTAGTTGCAGAGATATTAAATTTTTGAAATTGGCTTGTCCATGAATTAATATCCAGTTTTATTTATTTACTTGTTTTTTAAGGTTAATATAAAGTACTTTTTTCATAAAGAAAATCAAGAACGTTTCAAAATTTTTATTATTTTTTAAGATTTAATTTCACTTTTGTTTTTAAGATTTGTAGAATTTATCATCACATTTGGGATTCTTTTTCCATTATTTCTAAATAAAAATGAATCGTAAAGTTCGATCATTGCCAAAATTGTTTGTTTAAATATGTTTGGTGAACTGCTTGTTTCATTCCTAGTGACTATTTGTCTTACTGTTCGTATTGGGGTTTTCCTTCCTGTATTTTCATTATTTTTGTTCATAATTTTGCTTTTAAGATTTGATGGAATGCTGATATCTTGTGTCATATAATAGCCAAATTTTCCAGACGTGATCTTTTTCACGGAATCAAAAATGTTTTCAACTGAAAGAACTAAATGCCATTTAAAACATTTATCCCGAACATACAAAGAGCATGCTCAGAAAAGTGAGCATATAAGTGAGTCTACTCAAAAATTATAATCATGCAAGCTCATTCAACTGAGCATGCTCAGGAGTTCATTACGAATGTACTCACTTTATTTTTTTACAAAAACTTTATAAGCTCACGTGAGTGCATTCAATAAGTATACTCTTGAGAATATTAAGAGCATACTCATGTGAATTCACTCATATGAGTGCACTTACTGAATGTACTCATGAGCATATAATGAGCAAACTCACTTCTGTGTCACACAATTTTTTTTATATTCTCATATGAGTGCACTTACTGAATGTACTCATGAGCATATAATGAGCAAACTCACTTCTGTGTCACACAATTTTTTTTATATTCTCATATGAGTGCACTTACTGAGTTTATTCTAGAGCAAATTGTGTACCTTTTTTGAAAAAATGTCAGCTAAATCGAAAACGTTAAAATAATGATTTTTTAAGGAAGCTGACATTTTTTAAAAATGTCAGCTAATCGAAAACGTTAAAATTGGTGCTCAATAAGATCCAAACTTCAAAGAACTTAGTTCGCCTGTAAAAATATAATAATTTAACTATGTGTTATGCCATATATGAATTATTATATATTTACAGACAATAGCTCCAAGGAAAAGTGTGAGATGACAGAAGTTAAGCAACGCAGAAGATATTTCAACAAGGATGGGTGACCAGATTTATATGTTTCATTCTAAGTATTTGAGATAAAATATTAATAATTTCTAACTCTTTTAAAATTATTCACAGAAATAAACTTAATTTCAGGTAACCTATAATACTCAAATTTAGGTTAATTATTTTTTGAATTTTGCAACTTCACTTGAGTGCACTCATGAGTGTGCTCAGATGAGCATATACTCATAAATATACTCACTAAGTATATATTCTTTGAGTACGTTTATGAGTATGTACTCTTTGAGAATATTTACAAGTATGTACTTTTTGAGAATGTTCATGAGTATATTCAATAAAAATGTTACATGAGAAAAATGTTGCATGTGACATGTTACCTTCTCATTTGAGTATGCTCATGAGTTTACTCAATGAGCTTAATACATGTCACATAGGAATGTGCTCACTGAGCATGCTCAAGAAGGTACCGTAAGCGCATCACTGAAATGTATGAAAATGAGCACATTCTCACAAAAGCTATCAAGCTCACAAATAATATGCTCTGAGCATGCTCATTGTATGTTCGGGTATTCAGAGTATTTTAATGTCTATTTGAGGGCTGCAAAATAATTCCACATTTTTTTGCTTTTCAATATTGATGACATTGTCATGCTAAATTGAATAGGAATCATTACTAGGGTTAACAAAAAAATCTTACCTTTATCACTCAAACTCACATTCAAAATAATTGACATAATTAGAAAAATAATTAACATGATGAACATTTCAAACTAAAATTCTTTTTACAACTTTTGAGCATCGCAACAAAACATTTACATCAATTTTGATACAAAATTATCAGATTTCATTCAATGAGCTTCAATATTCAAGTTGAATGTCATTTGATTAATTAATACTAGCGAGCGTTTAAATGTTTTTTTAACTTTCTGAGTATCAATAGGTAAACTTCAATAATTAGAGTCGTGTGTAGATTTGTCAGTGATTAAGGGGATCGGGATTTAAGTCGCACTGCTTCCAACTTAAAAGGCTGGGCCCTTCATACATTATTACTAAGGGGATCGAGGGTGCCACCAAGTGACAGAGTTGTTTATAACCGCCAGTAGGTTTTTGAATGATTTTGTAGGGAAACATTAGATATTCCTCATTTTTGCAAGCAAAGTGATCATTAGCTGAGTTTTTCAGAGCACTAATTAGTTTTGTTTGCGTTGGAACGAAAAAGGCTGTTCGAAAGGAAAAACTGTTCCCTCACAAAATGTTTTATAACCCTCCTAAAGCCAATTTTTGCATCATTATTATTAAACTGTATATATTTGAAAACCATCCTTTTTTTTCTCTTATAAAATTCAATATTTTTTCTCAGATTGAAACATGATCACTCGCTAAATCTCAAAGTGATTAAGTATCATCATGTGCAAATAAAAATGACAAATTGAGCACAGGAAGAAAAAAAGTTTTTCAAGGTCAACTCGTCGAGCCAAATCAACGGAAAAAATTCAATCAGAGTTGGTTTTCTTAAATTTGCTAGGATAAAGAATAAATTTCACTTAAAATCAGTGTTGATACAAAGTTGCCTTTGACCAGACTTTGTGTTTGATCTAGCAAAGTCATACCTATTTTTTTCAGAGTCTTGTGCCTTTGATTTTAAATTGTCTACGCTTAGGTCCACCTTTTTAAAATCAATCGCTAGTTATCAACACTGCTTAAAATTAAATCTAGTGCTTGATCAATAAAATTAATAATATATGTAGGTTTGGTGCAGAAGTTTTAAGTTGGTTCTTTAAAGTTTTACCGGAAACCTTTCATTCATTTAACTACCGAATATAACAAAACCGATTGTAAATTGCAGCATAATTTGTGAAATTAAAAATCATATTTAATAGAAATTGCATCAGGAGTCTAGCTTGAAGTAGAATCATTACTAATCGTTTTTGCTCTTTACACGAAAACTTTAAAAAAGAACATAAGTTCCAACCTTGTTTATCATGAAAAAGAACTGCTACACCAAAATATCACTTTCTTCACATCAAAGATTTATTTATTTTTTTATATTCACACCGTTTTTACGTCAGAGTATATTGCTTTTGCTCAGATCGATCAGATTGTTTGTGCCTGGAATTTTGCACCCTCTGCCCAACAGCGAGTCTCAACCATTTTGAGTCATTGGTGAGAAAATCGCAAAATATGCAAGCACGTAAGAAAGCAAATTAATCAGCAAGAAATCTCAATAAAGAGACAGCGTAGAAGCTTCTAGCTTTTTGCTTTCTATTCGTGCTGTCTTATAGAAGAGCTGTATTGTTTTTGCAAAAGGTATCAATATTAAGCTTTTCAGACTCGAATGGCACAAGCTTTTCAGTGTGACTTTGGCATGGTGCTGGAATTAAATCGAAGCCAACGCCATGCCAAAGTCATGCAAACTTGGCACCAGATTTCCATTCGATTAACTGACTTGTGCTGTTTGGGGAAGGGAAGCATGCATTCTATCGTTTACTAAGCGTCGAAGTTTATAGCTTTCAGCGTAAGTCTCGGTTTGTTTTTCATTTAAACCAGTGTTGTCCAAACTTTTTGAGCCACAACACACATTAGGTGTATGCTATGACTCATGTTGCACACAACATGCGTCTCATGTCATTTCCTAAATAATTTTACGGCAAATTGCTTAGACAGCACTGATTTAAACGAAAACCTTATTGACGAAACTTTTGATGGTATGGTGTGAATATATGTGAATTTTGGGTTTCTCTGTTTTGTCTCTACGAAATGTCTTGTTTGACTAGAAAGAATATGTGATGAAAGATTGTCTAATTTAAAAGATTTTGAATGATGTCTTGGACATGAATTGGTAGTAAAATACTTCGAATTTCTGTCAAAGATGAAAAGAGATGAAAATTGTCGTTTGCTTTTTCTGAAAAATTGTCTACCGAAATTCGATACTTTAATGAGCTCAGAGCATTTTACAGACAGTTCAGTTCTGATAAAAATTCACTGATTATCAACACGAGAAAAATAATGAAAATAATCAACAACATCCTAAAGCTATCATCGCTGTTCTGTTTCTCATCAACACACTCAATTATGTTTAAACAATTAAGATTCACGCAAGTGAAAATAAAAGTAATTTGTTATGGTGAATAAATTTTAATGGTCAATGTCACTGACAAGATGCTTCTTTTTACTTTCATCTTTGTTCCTGTGTGAAATAGTATGTTGATTTTATGAATAGTTTTTATGTAGTGCATACTTCCTGGGCAGAGGTGAGAATTTTATTAATATTCTCAAGGCGTGGAAACTCAGGATTAATCCTGAAAAATTTAAAAAATTCATTTTTATTGGTTCAGAGATTTTTTAAGATTTTTGGGTTTTTTCCGGGATTTTTCAGGATTAATTCTAAGTTTCCATACTTTGATTATTCTTGAGTTTTTAAAGATTTATTATTTTTTAACTTTAGTTTTTGTGAATTTTAATTTTTTATGTTTTTTGTTCCTGAATCTTTTTTGTTATTTTTTTAATTTCAATCGAAAATTAATAATTTTAAATCTCAAGTCACATGCGATAAGCTTTAGTTTTTTTAAATCACACTTTGTTTGTACGTATTTCAAATATCAAGAAATCGTTTTTAAAAATCGTTTTTTTTTGTTTCGCTCAAATCATTGTCATTTTATTGTCTTTTCGTACCATTACAATAACTAACTTAAAGAAATTTGTTATTTTTACACACATTTTTTTTCTCTCGAAATACAATTTTTTTTATCTTCTTGTTCCAACTTTTTTCTCGTCAGGTCACTTTGTGGATTTTTCAAAAAAAAAATTATTTTGCGACAATTTTTCGATTTTCACTCAAATTTAATTGCGTTTAATAAAAATGTCTGAAGATATTTTGAGCATGTCTTAAAATTCACCAAGTAGACTTTACGACATTCCTTGGAATCGACCATATGAATACTTTCCTCACCTAGACCAAATAACCAGCGATATTCTTTAATTGCAGCTTGTCCATTCTGATACTTTTTGAGCTCATCAAAGAATGTCATCACAAGCTTCATGTCCAATTCCTTCTCATTATTAAATTGCTTCTCAATTTGATCTAGAATTTCAGGTAATGAGAGGCAGACATCGTCTTCAGTTTCTGTTGATGCCATTTAAAATTCTATTCTCTAGCTTTTGTGTTGCAAAATGTGCTGACTGTTTGAGGAGTAATTAGCAACTAATGAGTTTACTTCTGTTCGAAAGAAAATGAAAAGGTTTGCGTCGAAGAGAAATTTTTGTGCGTAAATTGAGAAAAATTACTATGAGAAAAATTGAAATTTGGGTAAGTGACTGTATGTTGGGATAGTTTATATGAAGAGTTCAATTGGGAAGTTTAAGGTTGTACCATAGAATATGACTTCAGCTTTGTGAATGGCTAAAGAGCACGTGGAAGACATAAGAACTCATGGAAAGAAGCTGTTGACAGAGACAGTATTGCATTTGGTATAGGAAATTGGCAAGCGGAAGCCAGCGATAGAGCCAGTTTTAGGTGGCATCTTATGGAGGCCATGAATCACAATTGATCTGTAAGGTCATCAAAGAACTGAAATAAACATAAATAGTGACTTCATGTGTAAATTTTAAGGTTATTCCTTAGCGTACAGTCTAGGTAAATTTCAAGGTATAAGGAGATTATTAGTCCAAGATCACTTCAACAGAATGACTCAGTACACCAGGTGCGTAGCCAAAGTGGGATACTTGATAGGGTTTTTATGAAAAAATCCCAAAGCGTGGAAACTCAGGATTAATCCTGAAAAATCCTAAAAAAATCCCTGAGCCAATAAACATAAAAATGTGAAATCCCTTATAAGTCCCGAAATTAATCAACAAATACATTAGGGAGTTCACACTTCCATGTTTGTTGGCTCAAGAATTTTTTTAAAGGATTTTTGGGATTTTTAAGGATTGATCCTGGTTTTCCATTCGTTGAAAAATCCTCCAATCGTAATATTTTTCCAAGCATATTTTTTTTGTCCATTCTTCAAATTCCTGGCAATTCTCCTACAGTACACTATAGATAATTACACACCTAGTTAAGTGTTATACGAAAGAAACTAGACTTTAACCTTAAAATTGTGAATTAGCCATTTTCAACTGAAAATAAAATATTATTCTGAAAAGTTTTAAAGCTTAAACATCATTTTTATTTTTCTTTTACTTTTATTTTTATATTTTTTCTTTGAAAGTTTAATAAGCTCAAAAGTTTGTATAACATTCATTCTCTTAATTAGAGTTTTTTATACTTTGTAAGTTTGTGAATATTAATAAAATATATCTATTGGTTTTTGATTTTATTTTCCTTTAATTTTTAATTTGTAAATCTTCGTTGTTCATTCTCCAAACATGAAACTTTTAAACAGTTTTATTTAAAAATAAAAATCTCATTTTAAGCGTGATTTGAAGGCCCCAAAATTTTCTTAATTTTTCTGATACTTTTTTCACTAGTTTCATTTTAGTCCACACAATAAGCATGTATAAAGTTTTTATTTCATTTTACTTTTAACTTTTTCAAGCACACAAGCAGATATTTTTGATAAATTTTGATCCTAAAAGTTTGAAAATTTCAATCAAATAATTTTGTTAAAATTATAATTTTATTAAAGCAAGTTTGAAATCAAATTTCTTTTATATTTTTTTTAAATTGAATAAAGTCAAATACAAACTAATTAAATTTTTTTGAACGACTTTAGTAATTTTAATGCAAACAAAATCATAAAATTATTCAAAAATACACTTTTAATGACTATCATGAACTTTTTTGAACGTAACGTTGATGTTTTTCAAAAATCTTAATTTAATTTTTTCATTTTTTTATGTTAATTTGTATTTGCAAAACATTTTTATTTCTTAATATTTAAAATTGTTCGTGTAATAATTTTTCGATCCTAAAATTGTTTATTTTGGTCTTACTTTCGACTTTTGAAAACTTTTGTTTTTGAAACTTAAGAAATTTTAAAAAATTTAAAACTTAATTTTAAACGTTTCAAAAAAACTTTTTTAAATATTTTTTTTTAAATTATAAATTTCAAATTAATATTTTTAAAAATTTCAAAATTATTATTTTTAAAAAATTAAATTGCAATGCTTTACGTTTTTAATAATTAAAATTTTAAATTTTCCAAATAACTTTAAAAAGTCGTTACAATTCCATTTGTTTAAAAAAAAATCTTTTAATTAATTTCAATTCTTAAAAACTAAAAAGAATTATTTCGATGACTGATTAAAGTTGCACAATTTAATGAAATCTTAGATTAAAAGAAAAATTCAATTTAATACCGGAAGTAGCCTTTGCGGCTTCTTTCATCATGGAACACACGTTGTGGTGAGACATTCGATTCTGTGCTGGTTCCCAATCGATTTGTTGGAACATGATAATAAGGCAGCAGTATGCAATGATAAATTGTAAAGTATATAATAGCTGCAATGCATGCAATTGTAGCTCCAACAGTGTAAATTGTTTGGAAGTCATTCAATTCAGTTTCATGATTAGCTTCTGGTGTCTCATAAATGTATTTGTTGTTCTTGTCATCAGAAATGATAGAAGTTCCATAAAAGAAACCGAATGCACGTCCCAAAGCAAAGAAGAGGATGACAAGAAGACCTTGACCTAAAGCTAAAAGTTTCTTTGGAATTAAATGGCGTGTAAAGAGAATTAAAGCAAGCACTGGAAGATAAAATGACAGTGGTTCCAAAATTTCATAAAGTGTCGTGTAGCTCGTTTCATGATCAAAGTAAAGTCCAGCAAATCTCAATGCAAAGCTCACAAAAGCGAGAATGAAAATATTTGAGTGTCCTAAGCAGTCAACAATCTTTTCGCCATTCCAAATCAATGGAATTGCCAAAATTGATCCAATAATGTAAACAAATGTCTTGTTTCTCCATACTCCATTCTCAATGATTGCATATTCAATTAAATCTATTGTAAAGAGATGACGATAAACTTCTTGAATATGCCACAATCCACCAAGGATGAATGATACAGTTGCGATAGCTGCAATGACCCATTTGTAACGTTTCAATGCTGACATTGGAATTGCAAGCATTCCACACTTTGTGTGCCACCACCAATCGGATGGTGTTAAAGGAAGTTTGCTAAAATTAAAAAAAAGTGGACATTAGTAAAGTGTTTGGAATAAAAATCTGTTCCTGTCCTACTTATGCCCTTACTTACCCAGAAAACAATACAACAATAGCACAAATAAACATTGTAATTGAGAATGTCAAAATAGGAACCAAATATCTATTTGTATCATCAGCGAAGGCATGATTAAGTAATCCAATAACAGATGCAAAGACTAATAAACCAATTGGATAGAAAGCCCATTGATGTCCAACATTTCCACGTCCAATAGAAGTCTCACGAGTGGCAATAATTATAGCAATATTAAGCAGCATGTGAATGATGACCGGGAATAGTTCAGCAATTACTCTAAGTGGGACATAAACTTCATATGGAATTGGTTCTCCACTGTATTTTTGAGTTCTGTCGATGAATCGAAGAATTGATTCCTTTCCAAATGGATCACTAATGTGGCATTCAACTGCTGGCGTACATGTGAAATTTTCTCTAGCAAAATTGAGAAGCTTCATCCATTGGACTTGTTGCTCTGGTACTTGACAGTTGAAACTTTCTAAAAATAAAAGAATTGAGTTAGGCTTCATCTTTGGGGGAGTTTTAATAATAAATTACCTAATGGATGCTTGCACCAATCCTCATTGAAATCATTAGTCTTATTGGCATCCCACTTAGCAGCTTTCATATCCGGCAGTATAATAACACTCTCGTTGAGATAAACATGACAATGTCCAAATTCAGTGTTTGACAAGCAAATATGTGGTGGTGGGATAAGAGGTGGTGAAGTTGGTTCTTGTGTTAAGGCTGCTGGTTCAGGTCCCGTTAATTCACTATAATCTTCGATGTAATCAGTTGATGCATTTTCATCAGACTCTACCTGATTTGATTTTGTGTCTACAGATTTTTTCGATGGATCTTCTTGTAATTTTGATCGTTGTGAGAAATCTTTGAAATTTTCAGGTGATTCACACGTGTATGAACATTTAAGAAGCTTCAATTCACCAATTTTGCCTTCCAAATTCTTGCATTGTCCTTCTGTTAAGTTCTTTTTGACATAAACATATCCGCCATCGTCACGACATGAAAATGTGACAGTTTCATCAACACTTTCAATTTCTGTCAAACCAGCTGGAGTCACTAAGAGCAATAATCCAAAGAAAATCCCAGCAAGGATAAAGAAAATAAAGAGAAGAACTCGAAGCCATTTTCCATAAGCTGACGGTCTTTTGATTGATATTCGATCAAGGATAAAACCTATTATTAATGGACCAATTATTGAAACAAGTGCGGATGCTAATGTAATCAGACGAATGTCATATTTTGTAAATCCAAGATATTCCATGTGGTGGGGTAGGAAGGCATACATGCATTGGAGAGCTGGAATTGAAACAATAATGTTAAAATTAATCATCAGTGAACCAAGAACCCTTTTAGTCAAAAATACAGCACATTCATGTAAAAAATCTATTTTCGTTAAAACCAAATTTTTAAGTCATCCGTCCGCAATGCCACATGTTGCTTCAACTCAACCGTCAGAAAATGTTTTTACTATTCATGTTTTTCATTTTCGTCTTGTTTTCAATTTTGCGATCTTTTATTTTGATGAGTAAAATTTTTAATAGCTTTTTATTTCGCGCTTTTCAAAAATAAATTTTACATTTTATATTTTTTCATTTTGGTGACTGTCGGAAATACCAAAATAAAAGAGAAATGTAGGAAAGATTTTTGTGCAAAAAATTGTAATTTGAGACGAGACAGCAACATTAGTATTTTATCAGAAATTGAGTTCAACTTAAATGAGATTTTTGCTCTATCTCCCCTGGATAAATTTAAAAAAATAAAATTAATGAGAAATTCGCGATTTGCTCTTTAAATTCTTTACCATTAAAAAAGTTTTAAGCATGATAAATGAAAAGTTGTAGTTCTAAATGAAGGACCTTGAAATTATAAACTCAAAACTGATCAATGACCACAAACATGTGCAAGTATGTCATTTACACATGTAAGTCTTATCTTTCTTTTGTTTTAATTTTTAGGACTTCACACGAAGCTTAAAAAAATTATAAAAGTTTTTCTCCTTCAGCACATTTAAAGTTTCTAATGCAGTTTTTGATTTTTGATCGCTGATTTGAATTATGCCAGCGGAAAACTACTTGGATGGTTAAAAATTTTGATGAAGAATTTCCCATTTTTGTGGAATAAAGTTGGAAAAATGGAAAAAAATGCGGAAAAATAGTAAAAATGAGAATTTTACCTTTTTTCCGTTTTTTACCACTTTTGATGGAAAATTTCCCTTTTTTACCCATCAAGTAGCTTTCCCTAGTAGTATTGTAATAGCGACAAAGTGATTATTTTTATCATTAGGATCATGTCAAGACTCGACATAGGAAATTTTTACTTTTTTTTTTTTCAAATCATAATTAGAAGCAGTAATGCCATAGAAGGAGTGGTTTAAATTTAACTAAAAATTGAAGTGCAATGGCCTTGCAATGATGAAAAGTAAATGAAATTAAAAAAGTTTATATCTGACGTAAAATTCTAATTTAAATGCAACAATTCTGACCTCAATTCTTATATTTTAAAATTATTCATCACCAATCCCTTTTTATGGTTCTATGTCCAATCATCCTACTTACTTCATCCTATATTTATTCAACTTTATATCAGTCTATATGCATCAACAATTATGACACAAGTAATAAATTTTAAAAGCACTCAACATATTCCATTAACCTATTAAGCCATTATTTGCACACTCAATTCATCATTCGTTTAGGACAAACAAGTTCAGTTAGTGCCTCACCTCCAAAGAATAAGAAAACGAGGACCTTTAGAGAGACGAGCCTGTTGGGCGTCACATTTTCTGTCTTTTCTGTTAACTGACTCATATTTATGCTGTATTTGTATCCTTAACTGGGTTGAAAAATATTTTTATTATGCAATGAAAATTCCAAATTGATGATGGTCGCGTGAATGTGTCAAGAAGACTCTTTTTATAGCGACTGTTAAAATATTTTCATATGATGTCCTTAATTTTTATGACGATTACAGTGATGACAATTTAAGGTCAATTGGATTGATGAGAATATTTTGATAAAATTCGTTGGTTTTGTTGACTTTGAAATTTCTGGTGAGATTCTTTATTTGAAATTTTATTAAATACTTCGATGTCTACAGTTTTAACTAGCGTGTGTTGATTTCCGAGTTGCAGATGGATGGGAGAATCTGATGAGTTTTGAAAATCTATAAAAAAAAGAAAAATAAAAAAAAAATATAAAATTGAGTAAAAAATTTAAATCCTAAATACTTTTGCGTTGAAGCTTAGTGGCTATTCCAACTTAATTATAGATTTGAAATAATTCATTGATGATGATCGATGCGTTGACATCAAAAATTATTTGATTATTTTCGTCCTCAACGGACAATTGGTTTTTGTCTTTTTACAGACAGATTTTGTCCTCAACGGACGATTGCGTTTATGCAACTCTGCACAATTGCATTGACACGTGGTATATCAATGCAAAGTACCTTGCCACAGTTTGCACGACTGAAATCTTACAAACCGAGTTTTCCTGACTAGAACAGCAAAAAAAGCACCCAAATCCAACTAAACATTATCTAACAACAGGGGGAAGAATCCCGTTTTATGAACAAAGTCTCTCCTAAAATTTTTAATGTCCCGCTTTTTTGAACCCACTTTTCTTAGAAAACGCTTGAAAATTTGTTTTGTTCCTCTGTTTCAGAGCTGAAGTCGGGTCATGTCTCGAATTTTTAACAAAAATCGGCAAAACCGATGAACAGCCTACATATAATTGATTTGATAATATCAACAATTTTCCTAGCATTGACAACTTTTTGTTTCCACCCAGAATTACAAGTTCACAAATAATAAATGTAAAGATGTCTATAGAGTGGGTGAGGGAGAGCACTTTATGTTACGATCCATTAAGAAAAAGCTTCGCATTGTTATGGCATAATAAAAAGAAAATAATTATTATTATTATTATTATTATTATTATTATTATTATTATTATTTATTAAGTTATTTATTAAGTTTATTAAATAAGTATAAACAGTTCAAGAATGTGCTGGTTAAAGTGCTGTTTTTGCCTATAATATTCTTGAGTGGACAAAGAACTAGTTAAAAGCCATCCCATGACTTGCCTTTGCAACTTGACTTAGGGATGACTAATGATATATTTTGCACGTTCTTTTAAACTGGACATAGGAATTACACATATGTCTAGTTAAAGTCTAGTTAACGTCTAGTTCTGTAAGTCTTATGAATGTTTGGAATTTAAAAGACTGGTAAATGTTTGTCAATTAATGGACTTTAACTAGTGTGACCATCTGCGTAGTTTTACAACGGACAGTCCTGTATTTTTCAAGGCTGTCCTGTATAAATTTGAAAACTTTGTTCCAGGTCCTGTATTTTTTTCACGAAAATTTCCGTTAATTTTCGAATTTTTCTCTATGTCCTGTATTTTTTAAGGAATTTTGTCAAATGTCCTGTATTTTCATGAAAATTAGATGGTAACCCTAACTTTAACTAGCTGTGTCTACCCGGGATTTTTTAATTCATATAAGTATGTTGCGGGACCACATTTTGAGAATTACAGTTAAAGTCGCAACTAAACTACACTTTACTACCATTAACTTCAAATAGGAGATCTGTAACCTAGTGTCATAATCCAAATTGGCTTTACTTTCCAAAACGCACACCGAAATACTTGATAGGATATGTTAAGCTTAGAAACCATACTTATCATTATAATTTTAAGTTATAGACAGTCAAACTTTGTCTAAAATTATCCACCATAAAATTACATCTTAAAGACAAGTAATGAATTGAATATCAAGGACAATCGATAAAAGTTGGGCTCGTGACGTTTGTTGCGTTCGGAAAATTTATAGAAAACTTCTTAGGTTTCATGTTTACATTTTCATTTTCATTTAGACTTTTTTTTCTCCTTTTTGTTTAGCGCTTGTAACAGAGTATTGTGATAGTTAAGGATTCACATCTTTTTTTATTGATCGTTATTGTTGCCGATTTGTTTGACTGCTGTATTTGATGAAAAATGAGTTGATTTACTAATATTTGGTGGATGGAGAAAGAATAAGTTTACTTTAAATGGAAACTTGACGTTTGTATTCACGAAAGGATTTGAGTCAACCATAAATCACTAATCATTAGAATTCACGCAACTTAGCAAAAGTTTTAATTATTCCCAAAATCATTTTCCAAACATTCTCATTTTCAATAAGAATTTTCGACAGTTTAATTCAATAAGTACAGCAATTTGATTTAAATATTTCAACACAAAAATTACATTAAGTTAATTAACACAAGCAATTGAAGAAAGCAAACTGTTTGTTATTGTGGAAATATTCAATTACAAAATACAGTAAAGGAGGAAATGTCACACTGGTTTTCTTTATTGTTCACGCAAAGGCATCAAATTTCTGATGAAATTGACGTTTCGGAATTGGGTTGGGTAAAGATTGAGGAAGGGAAATTCAAGGCTGATTGTGATTGAAATAAAGTTCTTAATGTTGGTTGCTAAATTATATCAAATCATCCTCAGACTCACAACCTCACCTTAGCATCTAATCTAACGGGAGAACATGAAACAGAAACTAATAGCATGTAAACAATAATAGCTGAACATCCTCATGAGTCATGACTTGAATTATTTTCTCACATATTTCTTCACTTAACAGCTTTAAAACTCATGCTCGCAAATGCTATAAGGAAGCCTTTTAAAGGAAGTAATGAGAAATAAAATGAACAGGAAAACTAGGGCAAATCTGATAAGTTCAAATGTTCAAATGACATGCAAGCTTTTTTCACACGAACAGAAACACAAGTTTGGTTGAAATCTGCAAGGGAAAAGACGCTCTAAAGGAGCTCCAAAAGCTACCTATCGCAGAATAGTGATGAAAGAATGTAAGCTTAATCTGCGGACAGTAAGTTGTACAAACTAGGTGACAGAGCCAGCAACAGAGTCAGATGGAAAGCCTTTTGTTGTAACCTAAGCTCCACATAGGAACATGGTTACAGAAAGTAAGTAAGTAACCTTTCCACCTTGCTTGTATGTAAACAAATCTTTAAAAGTGTGAGCATGAAATTTATCGTGAGAAACATCAGCATAATTACATCGGTAGAAGCAGTCGGTCACCACAGACCCTAATGACACCATCGTTGGTATAAAAAGTTAATAAGGATGAATTAATTTATTAAATTGGGAATAAAGAGGAATTTAATGCAAATAATAGTTCAAATATACATATTTTTATTCTGAAAGAGTTTTGATTAGTTCCTCGAATTCTAAATTAAAACAAAATTCTTCTACAATCTCAAATAGTTCAATGAACTTAGCCAAGATTCATAATCACTACAAAACTAATTTCATTAAAAAAGCACGCATTTACGACTCCTTTCTAGAACTTAAACAAAGAGTTTCGTGTCAATATTTTGTTTTTGTTTTGGCTGGTTACATTCGAATGCATCTCATTAGCATATAAAGGTATGAACACATAAAACACATTAAATTTTACAAAAGAACATTTTTAGTAAACATTTGTTCTACACATTTAATCCTATTTTCGTTAATATCTTCGTGTGTTTGATGCTAATTAATTAAAGGGAATGGTTAAGGTAGGAACAGGGATTCTTTTATTTGGATTTTCACTTTTACATACACACTTGAGAACTTTAAAAAAATCATTTATTTTAAAAAAAATATTTAGAGACATGATTCCATTTAATGACACAATCAACCAATTGATCTCCATTAAAACTCCGAAACACATGTTCTTCATGTTAACCTCTAACCATACAAATTGCCCGCATTAATTATCATATTAAGCACACAATTATGAATATTTTGGCCTTGATAGAAGTCATTTTAGAAGCTAGAACTGTAAATAAACAGGAATAGTGGAAGGTGACAATGAAATTGTTTCCTCTTCACACCTTTATTTTTATTAAACAATGTCAGGATGTTGGCTAAGTAAAGAAGGGAAGAATTAAGGTTTAGAAAGGTTGTTAAAGATTTAAAGCTGTAGTTTTGGGACATTTGTAGATTCAAATCGTAAGTAAATTAAGTAGAGATTGTTGGCATTAGATTTACTTTGCTCACATTAAATAAATGACATATTTCCTTCATCTAATTCTAAATATATACATTAAAATTTACATTTAATCAGATTATCACTTAAAAGTCACGCACAAGATTTTCATTCCTTTGATAATCATCGCCAAAGAAACCTCAAAATTGATATTTATGAGCTTTAATTTTAACAACTTTTCCATCTTTCTTCATGAATTGTAAAAAAATATTTTATTAAACACAATTTGTACAAAGACCCATAAAAATATATCAAACGGAAATGAAGCAATAAATAATAAGACACACGAATATATTTGAAACGTGCACGAAGCAGTAAAGGCAAAAAGCACATAAAAAATTGAAAAGGGGAAATTTTTATGGAGTGAAGAAATTAAACGAATCAATTAAATGTTGTTGCGGTATGAATTATTAACAAGGGATGAACACCTGTTAGTATGTCAGCTGGATAGACTTATTAGATTTCAAAAGGAATGCACATTGATATAATTGCATGAAGAGGCGTAGCCAGGAATTTTAAGGGTGGAGGGGAAAAAATGTTTTTGGTAAGGAACCTAGCAATATTAAAAAAATTTCTATCGTTGTCCCTGATTAGATATCATTAGAAAAACCATAATAGAAGAAAATTGACTAAAGTGAGATATCAGTAGCCCTAGAAATCAAAATCTTAAGGAGAAAAACATTCCAGCCCAATGCTAGCAAACAGAAATTTTTGAGTTCTTATTATTCAAACTTCGAATTTTTGAGGTTCTTATTTTTCGAAAATCGAATCTTCGAAGTTCTTATTTTTAAAAAAATTCGTTGTGAATTATTATTTTTCGAGTAATTTGTAATTTTAGTGAACATTCCTACTCGTTTTTATGATTAAGATAATCACTGTGATCAAATTGCATTCCTTAAATGTTAATGCTTTAAAAAGCAGCTAGTTTAAAAAAAATAAAAAGTAACGGACTTTCTTATTTTGAAATTTTAAAAAAATACCGCGCGAAAATTTTGAATTTTTTTGTCTGTAACGGACTCTGTTCTCTTTGCTAACATTGGATTCCAGCTTAATTAAAAATTCATGTCTATGCGACACAACAACTCTATTTTAATAAATTAGCCAAGCAATTACTCAATGTCATATGTTAAGCCGTTTCCATCTCTATGTCATGTCTATTATATTATTATGGATCAGTGTTGTCCAAATTGGGTGCAAAGTTTTTTTTCTAGTTTAGTAGACTTTTTAATCATATACATATAAGACGCTCATATGCTCAGTAGTGCTCTATGGTTTAGAGTTTTAGAGGCATTTTTGGACCTAAGAAAAAAGGAGATTTTTGCAAGTGCAGGAGCAATGTGGAGTTGTATCAGCTCTTTACAGGAGCTGATATCATTAAAGTATTAAATTTAACAGGCTCCGATGGACTGGACATGTTATGAGGAGACCTGTGGAAGCTCCATTAAGTTTTTAAGTCGGACTTTGTGGATTGAAAAAGAGCACATGGAAAGCATAAAAACTCATAAAAAGAGTCTGTTGATAGAGACAATATTGCATTTGATATAGGAAATTGGCAAGCGATAGACAGGGATAGAGCCAACTTTAGGCGGCATCTGAGCGAGGCCATGGTTCACAATTGGTATGTAAGGTCATCGAACTAAGGAAGTAAGTAGGATAGATTTTCTAGAGTCAAAAAGTTACGTGGTTCAAAAAAGTTTGTACAGAACTGTTTTAGATTAATTTATAAAATAAGTAATTTACTACGAAATTGTATTCTTATTCCTCATTTTGTAAATTACTTCCTATAATATTGTGGAATAACGTACAGTTTGTAGATGACACGGTTAGAACAGTTGGTTGTATACTTAACAAAAACAAGACAAAGTTCATCAAAAGGGGCCGTTCACTTATGACGATTAGGGTGGGGGAAGGTTCGGCAGAAATGACAATATAAATTCCTGGAAATCTATTGTTCTTTTTTGAAAAATGACAATTAATTTCGGACATCATAAGTGAACGATTCCGAAGTATTATTAAAATCTAATTTAAAATATTGACAAGTAAAATTGCTTATTTTGTAAACGCAATTTTTTTCTGAGATAATTGTTTACTAATGGTCAAAAGTCATTGTGTTATAAGAAATGTCAAGGGATCAATTCGTCTACGATGTCATGACCTCATAAATTCTCCTCAGTTTTCATTTTTCCTTTTCTTTATTTTAATTTATTTTAATTTATTGAAAATTAATTAAATAATAATAATCATATTTTATTTATCAAAAATGATAAGTGACGTCACTTAGTGATGCGAATTTTTACAAAACTTGTTTTTTTTTGTATTCTTGTAAACATTTAATACTTGAGATTATATAGCTATTCTATATTTTTGTAATTACAATTTTATAATATTTCAGTCAAAATTGAAACTTCGTAGAGGACAAACATGAAGTTTTTGCTGCTTTTTATAGTTCTTATAAATTTTTATTCCTTTTGTGAGCCGCGTTTAGCTGAAAATCTAAAAGTTAAAATTGATGATGGACAAATTATTGGACGATATATGTCAACAATTTCTGGGAAAGGAGTTCGCTCATTTATCGGTATTCCTTATGCTGCTCCACCAGTTGGAGAATTGAGATTTAAAGCACCAAGAAAACCAGCTCCATGGCTTGATGATGTATTAATAGCACAAAATGAACCTCCAATGTGTTCTCAAACAAATATTTTTGATCGCGGTGAGAAACGAGACTCGGGACAAGAAGATTGCTTGTATTTGAATGTATACACTCCAAATGTATGTGTATTCTTTATGTTGCTGCATACTGTGTCTGATTTATTATCTTTTCTAGATTAATTTAACTGATGCAGCTTTTAAGAAATTGCCAATATTCGTATGGTTCCATGGAGGGGTACGTATGCTACTTCCTTTAGAATATTTTAATAATAATTGTTAATAATAACTGTCAAATTAGGGCTGGATGGAGTTTCATTCCGGTCACAGTTTTTATGGTCCCGGATATCTTTTAGAACACGATATAATTCTTGTAACTGGAAACTATCGATTAGGATTATTGGGTTTCCTGTCAACAGAAGATGAGAATTGCCCAGGAAATTTTGGTTTTAAGGATCAGCACATGATTCTTGAGTGGGTGCAAGAAAATATTGAGAAATTCGGTGGCGATAAGGATTCAGTTACTATATTTGGTGAAAGTGCTGGTAAATATTTTTGGATATTATTTATAAAATTCAAACGACAACCTTTGTTAATGCTTAAGGTGGTGCAACTGTCAATTATCTAATGAATTCTCCAAAGTCTCGAAAACTTTTTCATCGTGCCATTTCACAATCAGGAAGTTTAATGAGCATTTGGGCTGAACCACACAGAAAGGGACTTGCAAAAGAGAGAGCAACCAAGGTAGCTAAATTGATGGGCTGTCCTGTTGATTCTTCAACCAAAAAAATGATTGAATGTTTAAGGAACGTTCCAGCTCAAAAGATTACTGCAGCTATACGAGATTTTATGGTATGATAATTTTACAATATTAAAATATGGTCTTAAAAAATCTTAAGACTAAGTTGAAACCATGAAATCATTTTTGCATCAGTTGCAGGCGCATAGCCAGGAGGGTCTTGTCCCCCTCTTAAGTGTTTTAGGCCTTGCTCTCGCTGCGGTTAAAACGTTTAAGGGGGACAATACCCTCATGGTTACGGTTGGTCAGTTTGAATCATTAATTTCAAGATTTTCATGATTTCAAACAACTTTTAAGACCAATCTCGCTTAATAATCACAAAAATACTTTTAAAATATTAATAGATTTGGGACTATGATCCTGTCATACAATTTGGAGCTGTCGTAGAACACTATGGACCTGAAGAAGAGCGTTTTATTGTTGATTCAAATCTTGATAAAGATTCATTTAACATTCCATGGATGACTGGAGTCACCAGTGAAGAAATGATATTCAAAGCAGCAGGTAAAAAAATTAAAATCATTTGATTCGAATTATTCATTTATGTTAACTTTCATTTAGGAATTTTAAACAGCAAGCAGTTGTTTAATGATATTGTGCAAAAATGGGAGACTTTATTTCCAATGTCATTCTGTTACGATCATCTTCCAGAGCATGAAATAAAAGAAATTAACACAGCAATTTATGATTTTTATTTTAAATCTGGCGACTTCAGAGGAAATTTAACGAAGGTAAAAAACTTAAATTTAAACAAAGCTTAAAAATCAATTAAAGATTTTGATTCTCACTTTAAGTTGACCAAGGATGTAAATTTTTCAAACCTTAAAATATATTTTAGATGTGGTCTGATGGATGTTTTTTCAATGGATTTATTGATTATCTACAGCAACGATTAAAAAGCAACAATCATGACAACACATACGTTTATTTATTTTCACACAAAGGATCCATAAGCTTCTCAGAAGTTTTTGGTGGTGATCCAATGAAGTATTATGGAACTTCTCATTTAGATGATTTGCTTTATTTGTTCCCAATGCGAGACTCATTTCCACATTTTTACAATTCAATTCCAACAGAAGATGATGTTAAGTTGAGAAAAATTATGACAAAATTGTGGGTTGATTTTGCAACAACTGGGTAAGTTTTATAAATAATAAATAAATTATTCAGTCCAACTCGAGGCTTAATTAATTTTTTTCTACATCCTCAGAAACCCAACATCAAACTTGAGCAAAGAAACGGAACTTCCTTCATGGTCTCCGGCGACGAAGTTTCCATTAGACTATATGCGAATCGGAAATGAAAATGGAAATTCTGATAAACTACTTGAAATGAAAAAGGATCTTTTTGCCAAAAACACACAATTTTGGATAAATCTTCGTGAAAAATATGGCCTTAAAGTATGGAAAAATGAGAACAAGAATAAGGATGAATTGTAATTTACTAGACGAAGAGTTTGATTGCATTTACTGGATGCGATTTCCTGAGAATAATCAAGGCGTGGAAACTCCTGGATTTAAGATTAATCCCAAAATTCCTAAAAACAATTCATGGGCCAAAAAATATGGAAATGTGAAATCCTTGATTCATTTGATAAATAATTTCGGGATTTAAATGGAACTTCACATTTTCATGTTTATTGGCTCAGAGATTTTTTTTTTGAATTTTTGAAATTTTTCAGGATTAACTTGAGTTTCCACGACTCTCGAAAAATAAAAAATTCATTTAAATTGATTAAAATTTCTATTTTATTTGTTAAACATTTTCCATTCAAAAAAATGTTTTCTCTTTTAAGAGTTCAAGGACTCAAAAAAGAAGCATAAACATAACAGAGCGAACTGAGGATTTATAACTCTCACATGCTAATCGTATTAAAAAAACGAAATGATGATGTCACATTACTTTTGTTTAGGCAATAAGTTTCATTAATTTTTTGTGGTGTGTGTTTTTGTCTTGCTCTCTATTTTTTAGCATAAATTCATAAAAATTAATGAATTGGTTTCAGATGTGAGTACATTCATGTGTTTTTAGAAGCCTTGTTCAGTTTTTAGATTAAAAATTTGAGATAGAAGCCGATTGAGTTTTAATATGATTAAATTGGGAACTTACATTTAATTCAAATTACTTCGAATTTTCGCAAGAATTTAAGTTATGCCAAATTTTTCTTTTTTTTTTGATTTCGTGAACTCTCTCCAGTTCTCTTTCATTACTGAAATAATTTTAGGGTCACCAGATATTATTGGAAAAAATACAGGGCATGAAAGTAAAATAGAGGACATCCCACGTGTCTACTAATTTAATTCGTTTTCTGGACGAATTAAAACAAAAAAAAACTATTTCACTTTTGAAATATTAAAGAAATAAAGGACTGTACTCTGAATAATCAAGTAGATGGTCACTCTAACTTTAAGATTAAGTCATCAAGTACATTTCGCTGGCAACAATGAAGCACCAATTAGCATACAAAAGAAATTTTTGTATGTGTAATTAAAATTTTGAATTGAATTTTCATGGTAATTTTTTTTGAATTAATTGTTAAATTTTTATGCATGCTATTTTGAAAGCTGAAAAGTTCATTGAATTTTAAGAATTTTAATGCTTTTAACGTACAGTTGAGAACTTTTTTTTTAACCAAATGGTTAATCTTTATAAAGTGTCTCTACATAAATTCAAGATTTGCAAGGCTTGGACACTGAGATTAATCCCAATAATCCTGAATAATCCCAGCATAATTTTGAGTTTCCACGCCTTGATTGTTCCACATAAGTTAGCTATAAAATTGATTCACATATGTCCATGATGAGTAATAATCCGTTAAATATTCATTGACGCTTAGGGTTTTATTGTTGCTTATTGAAAAATGTTAAGGTCATTTGGAATAAAAATATTAAAATAAGCTGATTATTTATGCCTTAAAAACTGGAATCGACAGTCATAATGGCTCTGTGTATTTATTAAGAATTGATTTTTTTAAATGATTTAAAAGAATTTAGAATGAAGATAAAGTTGAGAATTGACTGGAAATTAAAAGCTGTAGCAGCAAATATTAGAACACAGTTTTTAATCCAAAAAAAGAATTTAATAGATGTAAGTTTTGATAAAGAATTGCTTTGTTGATCCACTGAACTATGTCTAAAAAAATATATCATTAAAAATTACTATTTTCTATTCTTATAAGCCTCTAATCTAAGATAACCGTCAACTCCTATCTGATCACACCTCAGAGCACATTAATACTGTCTTAATTGTCGCATAAAATAAAGACCACAATTATTTTTCTTTTCGATTTAATCTCCCCCCTTTCTTTTCACCGAAATAATCCACAGCAATCGCATTAATCTTTATATGCTCTGTCACTGAACCACTCACAAATAAAAACAACGAAACAACCAAAAACATTCAAAAACAACAGAAATATTAAGAATTAAAAAAAAAAACGATTTTCGACTGAAGATATGCAAGAAGAATTAATCAATGTGCGATGATGAGCTCATCGTGGGTTGCGTGCTACGAATGGAACTGTTTTGGAATTTTAATGCTGCTACTAAAATGTGTTAAAAGTACTTTGTATGCTGAGTATGACGAGTATAGAATAAAGAGCTATTGGCGTTGAATTTTTAGGGGTTTAAAATTATAATCCAAATTATAATTTGGATAGATTAATTTAATTTATTTGAATTCAAAACTTCTATGTTTCTTTTATGAATATTTAAATTAAGCTATTAACATTGTTATCAGAGGTCGATTTCTTAGATATGTACACCTGGCAATTAACACATTAACCCTGTAAAATCAAAAATATACTTTTAAGGTGCCAACACGTCTCTGTATGATCCTCAAAAATACAAAATGCCATAAAGATGCCTTAAAGGCATTTAAATGGTTGTATAAAATCAAAATTCTTGATTTACTTTATTATGTCCCTCAGTTAATCCAGGTCAGTTGATAACCAATGTCAATCATCAGAAAATTTCCGAATAATTCTTCCAAATCATCACTAAACGGTTTCAAACCAAAATGATAAACAAAACTGGTTTTTGAGTTAATCATAAAAATATCTTACAACAAAAATAAAAAGTTCAGAAGGTCACGAAGAAGCTAAAATGCGTGACGCATCATAAAGTTTGGACACGGAAGGTTCACGTCATTGTATACTTTTTTTATTAACATGTGATGACTCATCAAAATGACTTTCTTTGGAGTTTTACGGTTGTTAAATTTGCATTTTGCTACCATTTTTGTTTGAATCCATTTATAAGTCAATGGTGATTAATTTTCAACAATTTGTGGACACGACGAAGAATTTCCAAAAAATGTTTAAGAAGTTTCATTAAAATTTATGCAGTTTTCAAGGCGTCATCATCATCCAGTATGTTCATAGAACAATAAAATAATCGCAACAATGGTTAATGAATAATTTAACAATGGTCAATTAATCACAGCTACAAATAGCATTTTTAATTTTTGTTCGCCAATTCAATTCAACCAACTGAAAAACTTCAAACCAACAACCAAAATATTCTAATAATTAAAAGAAGCAATTAAACAATTGCTTAAAAATTAAACAATTTTCCATGTCGGAAGAAATTTTTCATTCTTGTTGAGGCTGAAAATAATTTGAGCTTAACTTTTAGTCCTAAATAGAAAAAAATAAACCTTCTTCTTCTTTACTGCCATAGTAATGCTATCTAGACACGTAAATGAAAGCTTATGTAATTTTAGCAAATGGCAATAAATTAAATCGATTCTAGTTCTTGAAAGCTTGTATTCTACTACTGATTACTGCAAATACCCCGAACAGCACAAGTCGATTAATTGAATAGCATTCGGCACCAAGCTGGCATGACTCTGGCAAGATCCTGGCTTCAATGTTAATCCAGCACCATGACAGAGCCACATCAGCTTAGTGCCAGATTTCTGATCGATTAATCGACTTATGCCATTCGGGTATGTTTAATGATTGAATTAGTAGTAAGGAATAGAGCTCGAAGGCGATAAGGTTGGAGTAGACTGAATGAAGAAGTTGAGCCAACTCGCCACGACTTTGAGCTCTGGTAAAAGAGGATTAATGTTGATTTATAGCAGAATTGTAGCTAAAGCTTTTTGCTGGAGTCTTAAATATTCTGGAGCAAGATTTTGATGTCCATTTTTAAGCCCTTTTACAATATTATATTTCGATGAAGGTAATCGCTTCTTTTTCTTTACTTCCAACATAGCAACAGAAAACTTTACAACATCCAAATGTGCTCATCAATTTTACGCTCAATATCAAATATCGCACAACAACATTTATCATATTACATAACCCTAAAATACTTAAAAATGAACATCAAAACAACTCATTGCTTTTCCGGTAATTACGAATCTTCTTTATGCATTTCATGCTGCGACTTTGAGTGCTCATTTATCATAACGGTGTGTCGAAATTGGAGTATCGAGTATCGAGAGGTTTTTCTCAGACTTCTTTTAAAATTGATGTAAAAAATAGAATTTTAAAAATCGAGGAAATTTTAAAGAATTTTTAAGTTTCATAAAAGCTTTTTTCAGGTTTTGTAATTTTATGATGCAATTTTGATTTAGAAAAAAATTAAATACTTTATAAAAAAAAACTTTTTAAAAAAACTACGTTTTTCGCGTGGACTACTAAAAAGTTGAAAATAACTTTTCTTCTTGGTTGTATAGAATTTGGTTTTAAATTTTCAGATTATATTTAATAAATTTTTAAATCCTAGTCAATATTGTTCACAAAGTTTCGAATAAGTGCACTTTGATCTTATCGTATAACTCAACAACTTAAAAACGTGGGCGCATTAATTTAAGTTTATCATAAAGTATTGATTTCACATAAACTTATTTCTTCTCTTATAATGCGCCCACGTTTTTAAGTTGTTGAGTTATACGATAAGATCAAAGTGCACTTATTCGAAACTTTGTGAACAATATTGACTAAGATATAAAAATTTATTAAATATAATCTGAAAATTTAAAACCAAATTCTTTACAACCAAGAATAAAAGTTATTTTCTACTTTTTAGTCTACGCGAAAAACGTAGTTTTTTTAAAAAGTTTTTTTTATAAAGTATTTTATTTTCTACTTTTTAGTCTTATTCTAATGAAATAGAGAAATAAAGATTATAGGGGGTTTATAGGTTACAGGTGTGTTGAACTTCACTTCGTTACGTTCAACTGTTTATAGATTACAGTAGGTTTATAGGTTACAGGTGTGTTGAACTTCACTTCGTTGCACTTCGTTACGTTCAACTGTTTATAGATTACAGTAGGTTTATAGGTTACTGGTGTGTTGAACTCCACTTCGTTGCACTTCGTTACGTTCAACTGTTTATAGATTACAGTAGGTTTATAGGTTACAGGTGTGTTGAACTCCACTTCGTTTCACTCCGTTACGTTCAACTGTTTATAAATTACCAGTTTTCAATGGGAAATTAGTAACGACTTTCAAAATTTTTCATTCGTTTTATAAAATTTAATTTTTTTAAAGCATTCATTAGTAAAGTACATTAAAAATCACTCGTAAAGATTTTGTGTTTATCCGAACCATTCCTACTACATAACGTGTGGATTCTTAACATAAAGATGCAAATCAAATCTATATGTAACGTATTTATAACGGATTTTCAAATTTAAATTCACTGAATATCATTCATATGTTATGCAAAAATACGTCAAGCCGTTAATAAAAAGAAAAGTCAATTTAATTAAATTGGGGAAGTGTTATGAACAATGTAATACATTAAAAACAGCATAAATTTATGCTTAAACTATGTGTGCTAAATGCACATCGCATATTAAAAGTTATTTTGCATTAATTCGGAACGGACTTGTGCTTAACGGTTTTTTTGAAAATTCAAATTTTCACTTACGAATATTCATGAAAAAATTACTTGTCAATTTTTGTATTCTCCTAGAAAATCTTTAGCTTCTACATTTTACAGTATAATTAATAATTCGTAATATTAATTAATCTATAATGAATCTTATAAATGACTTTAGAACATCACAAGTATAATATTTAATGCAAATCAAAATTTTATATAATTGACATTGGATTTTTTCCCATATAAAAAAGTTTTACATAAATTGTACTATAATTAAGCATTTTTATGTTTCCAAAGTGTTAAAATATTGTATTGTCACCGGGAATACGTGTGCATTAAAAATTTGAGCTCGATTGGAGCAGTAGAAGTGGTCGAAAAATCGATTACAAAAGTACGAAATTTTGCGGACAATCAATCAATCAAACAGATAAGAAAGCAAGTTAAGAAAAACGCAGTAAAAAGATTCAGTTTTGAAATAAATATTGTTGAGAAATTTTGTTTAATTTTGGATGATATCATTGCAGGTTTGCTCAAAATTAGAAGAATTAACTAATTTGTAGATTTTTTAAAGCCAGAGTAGCCCAACAATCGTAATGGCTCTAAAATGACTTTCTCATTCGACAATTTATTTCAGTTTTTAATGGAAGAGCAAAACCTCTTAGTGCATAAAGTCTTTAATTATCTAAAATTTGTAAATTTTAACATCATCAAAAAGTGCTAAAATTCACTAATTGTGTATTAATCAGCAGAACCAAGTATGACAAAACATTTGTCAATTAATCATTTTACGTCTTAAAATTCTCAAAAGAATAAATTAATTGTCATTAATTGAATTTAAATGCAAATCTAATTTAATGCTATTAGCCGCATTTGCATGTAGGTTTTAACACAAAAAACTTTATTTTTCAACAATCTTTTTGTCTCCAGTTTCAATAACCCCTAATGTCTGTAAACAGAATAAATATCAGTTGGCTTTCGAAAATTTTGAAAAAATTCGTAAATGATCAATTTTAAAAAAACAAATATACGCTAGTAATTTTGTCATATTTGAAAATTAAAAATACGTTAGTAATTTTGGAAATCATTAAAAT